TTTTAAAAACGGAAATTTAAAGTAAAACAAAGAAAGAAACAAAAGAACAAGTTGAATAGTGATAGAATTTGATAGAATTTGAGGTTATAGCTTGGATTTTTCTAATATTCAAAGGTTTTATAAGACTAAAGGCAATCAGTTGAATGTTTTAGACATCGTTGACTAAGATCTGACTAAGAAATCATCGTTACTAGATTCTAAGAGTTAGTTGTAGTAAGTAAGTTGTCAAACTAGTCACTTGTAAGTTACTTTACTTTGGAAAAGCTTTTTTAAAGTACAGTGACTTACAAGTTTTAGATAAAAGCTCAAGTTTTAGATAAAATAAAAGCTAAGGAAGATTTGAGAATGCTGATCTCATCAAAATTTTGGAGTATTTATATCATTTGAATGCACTTTTGTTGACATCGTCTGGAGGCGGGCCATTTCCCAAAAAAAGATCAAAAGAAGAAGAAGAAGCAGAAAAAATGTAAAAGCTTTGAGAAAAGAAAGATGAACTAAAAGTGCATCTGAAGCTTCTCGGAAAAAGTTCTCGGGTTCAAAATTGTTCATCATTGGCCTTTTCTTGTTGTTATTGTTGAGTAAACAGACAACAAGGAAAATGTACTTTTAGGGCAAAGACTTTAACTCCAGAATATCGTAGCTAGATTATCGTAGCTAGATTCTCTAGCTTTTTGATTGTAAAGGTTTTAAAAAGAAATTTATGACAAAACAAGACTGACAAAGTGATTGTTGATCGAGAAATTCCCTTTTCACGACAAGTCTGATTGACTTTTCAACAACGCCTCTTGTTTTAATGTTCAAATTTGATTTTTGAAATCCTTTTATGTAAAATTTGAGCTTTAAGAAAATCGAGATAGTTAATAATAATAGATAATAAGCGATGGCATCTATAATTATGTACTCTGTAGATTTGTGGATCAATTTGTGGATCAAATCTTCACAGCTCTTCACAAACTCTTCACAGCTCTTCACAAACTCTTCACAAATCAAGTCTTTCACAATCGCTTTTTCTGTGTTCCGTAAAGAGATCGTGTGATTCATTTGTTAGTATTCTGATTTGACTCATTCCTTTATGTTTTTTCGAGTTAATAGCTTTAAAAGAACATTGAAAAGCTCTAGGTTTTTTTTGGTTTTTGTGGGCACTTTTAAAACTAGAGTCGTTTTTCCTATGGTCTCTAAAATTGCTCTAAAAGCTCTAAAATCATAAACTACATTTCCAAAAAAGCTTCTAGAATCTCGAACTTAATAATTCGCGCGATATTTTTCACTAAAATTGCCTCGCAGTCCTTTTAAAACCTATTGTTGGGCTTTACTCGAGTTGCGCCGGACAAATGCAAACACGTTACATTTGGTTCATTACAATTCATGACAATTCATTACATTCATTACAAATCCCTTTAAATTTGAGGGACCTACAATTACCACAAGGATTGGCCGATGATCCTGTAAAAGATCTTGGTTTACTGTTAGTTCCCTCTCTAAAATGTGCTCCTTACATAAAATACATTTCCAAAAAAGCTTCTAGAATTTCTAGCCTAATAATTTGCGCGATATGTTTCCCTAAAATTGCCTCGCAGGGCTTTTAAAACCTATTGCCGGCCTTTGCTCGAGTATTCCACAATTGTATGGTCACCTTCCATCAAAAAAAACTTATCACCCTGATTGAAAACTGCCAACAGCGTTTCACTAAAAAAGCATACACTCGTTTCCCTTCTTCTCTTATTTCTTCTTTTCTTATTCTCTTATTCTTCCTCTCTTCTTCTTCCTTCTCTTCTTCTTCCTTCTCTTCTTCTTCCTTCTCTTCTTCTTCCTTCTCTTATTCTTCCTTCTCTTATTCTTCCTTCTCTTCTTCTTCCTTCTCTTATTCTTCCTTCTCTTAGTCTTCCTTCTCTTAGTCTTCCTTCTCTTATTCTTCCTTCTCTTCTTCTTCCTTCTCTTATTCTTCCTTCTCTTAGTCTTCCTTCTCTTCTTCTTCCCTTCTCTTATTCTTCCTTCTCTTATTCTTCCTTCTCTTATTCTTCCTTCTCTTCTTCTTCCTTCTCTTATTCTTCCTTCTCTTAGTCTTCCTTCTCTTCTTCTTCCTTCTCTTATTCTTCCTTCTCTTATTCTTCCTTCTCTTATTCTTCCTTCTCTTCTTCTTCCTTCTCTTCTTCTTCCTTCTCTTAGTCTTCCTTCTCTTATTCTTCCTTCTCTTCTTCTTCCTTCTCTTATTCTTCCTTCTCTTAGTCTTCCTTCTCTTCTTCTTCCTTCTCTTCTTCTTCCTTCTCTTCTTCTTCCTTCTCTTCTTCTTCCTTCTCTTCTTCTTCCTTCTCTTCTTCTTCCTTCTCTTCTTCTTCCTTCTCTTCTTCTTCCTTCTCTTCTTCTTCCTTCTCTTAGTCTTCCTTCTCTTAGTCTTCCTTCTCTTAGTCTTCCTTCTCTTCTTCTTCCTTCTCTTCTTCTCTTATGATACTAGACTTCTAGTTTTTGATTTAAAACCCCTTTTATATCACCGTATTTACTTTGATCTTATTTTTTGCTATAAAATTCTTTTTCACCCTAAGTTGCATCCAGAATTTCAAAGGCTCTTGAAAATTGTGGAAAATTCTAGAAGAACAAGTAGTCATCGTTATCAAATTTCGATCGTTTCTCATCCCCATCATCTTTCCCTTTATCATTCTCTCGTGAAACGTATTACCGTATTTTCTCTAAAAGTAGTGCACCCCAGCGAGCCGAGTTGGTGACTATTTTACGGTTTCCAAGCTCTTGCAGAAGCTCAACACACAAATCCCCCACAAGATCTCATCGTCAGCTACATTTTTCGACCCCACATCGATAGGTTCTGATAAGCGGTTCTCGAGATCTCGAGGAATTTAGGCGACACTCAGGGTGCACTACTATTAGAGAAAATACGGTAGTAGGGTTTGAAATCAGCTTCCGTCTGGGAGCTTCTCGTCTGTAAGTAAATTGAAAGTATCATTAAACGAATTTGATCTTATTGCCATGTCAAATCTGTCCTATTTTTTAATCTTTTTGTACCTTTGTTTCCTAACTTTAGTCTAACTTTACTATTTTTAGTTTTCTTTCTTTTTTTTGTGAAAGTAGTGTAGCAATTGTGAAATTTGTGTTGTTGTTTGAAATTGTGAACATTTTGAAAGGATTGTAGCAATATTTTAGATGTATCTATGATTATCTGATTCATTTCTATTTTCCCTTTGAATAAAGCATTATTTCCCCTAACTAGACATTTTTTTTCAAAAAACATCAAAAAAAAGGAGACTGGAGAAAAAGAATGGAGTAAACAACATGTTTTGCTGAATTCTTGAGTGATTGTCTAGGGGAGAAAGTCCGATCTTTGAAATACACAACAAGAAGAAGAAGAAGGGGAAGAAGGAGAAGAAGGAGAAGGAGAGGAAGAAGGAGAAGGAGAGGAAGAAGAAGGAGAGGAAGAAGAGGAAGAAGGAGAAGAGAAGAGGAGGAAAAGGGAAGACAACATAAAGTGCAATTGTTCTAGTAAAGTCAACGAAAAGATAGAGCTGAAAGAGAACTTGAAATCTCTTCAAAATCCATGAACTCTAGAATTCTAGAACTTCTCAAAACCTCTCGAAAACCCCATTCTCTCAAATGTTTTTCTTTTCCTTCACTATTCATCAATTTCTTTAAAACCTCTCGCTTTCCTTCATCCCAAACAAAATTATTTTTTGATTTCTTTCAGTCAATCTTTTAGTCAATATTATTTTTCATTTTCTTAAGCGTTCTCCCGACAGCTATTTTTCTATGTGTTTTTTTTAAGGAAAATGGAAATAAACAGCTGAAATTTGGATACAAATTGTTGATTAAAAAATGAGATTTCGAAATCATTGTGAAGAAATGAATTGTGAAGAAATGGAAAGACAAAACAGACGGACGAATGGAACAGACAGACAAAAAGCTGAATAAATTCGAGAGAACAGTAAACGGGAAAACTTCTAAAGTGAAAAGAAAAAATTGTTGCTGGGATGATGATAGTAACAATAAATAAATTAGATAGCAATTTGAAGCAATTTGCATTTCAAGACTAGTTTAGAGGTTGTTGGCTTCAGAAAAGCTACCGTAATCTCGCTACTGTCTTTTTCTTGTCTATAAGAATTGAATTCGATGAATTTCACGTTTAAATCTTCAAAAACACATCTACATTTAAAGCTTTAACTTATGTACAACAAAATATGTACTTTCTGTACAACTGTACAACAAAATGTGTACTTTCTACAACTGTACAACAAAATATGTACTTTCTCTACAACTATACAACAAAAAATGTACTTTCCAATACCGTAAAGACTCTACTAGAACGCCACCCCATAATGACAAGCGTGCAGTCGTGTAGGCTAACTTTAAACGTGCAATTCTCCGTGCTACTTTAAGCTACAGTATGCTACAGAATGTCAAATGATAGCCCTTAAAATCTACTATCTTTTGGTATCAAAAGTATAGCTAAGAGAAATCTAGAGACTGAGAAAGAGAATTTTGCAAAAAGAGGGTTCTACCATCACTTAAACTCGTCATTTTCTCGTCAAAAATGTACTCAAAACAATCACGCAACAATTCTAAATAAAGAAAAACAACATTTTAAGCAACTCGTGAACTTTGAAAGTGCTTCAGACAAAGAGAGAAAGTCTTGTTGTACTGATCGTTTTTCGGTTTCAGTGAAAAGTTCTGCCCAAAGATGGTCAACACAAAGGACACGGCGCACGCTATATAAAGGCAATAACTACCAATCTATTCCATTATCTTATCAAAGTTTTCCCTTCGATTACTGTAGTGTCTTGTCTCATGGCTGTCTCAAATTCAGACCTAATTTTAACCCTTCCTTACTGTATTCGATTTATCTTTATCAAAGCTTTACTTTCCTTTATCAAAGCTTTACTTTCCTTTACTGCAATGTCTTCTTTTTTCTTTCCTTTTCTTTAATTTCATTGACTCCTTACCATTCTTAAACCTAAATTTAAAACCTTACTTTTTAGCGTATCAAAAAATTTTCAACAATGTCCGGAGTTATCGATAAGACAAAGGAAGCCGTGAGCAACGCTGCTGAGGCGGTCAGTTTTTTTTTAAAGAACTTTCATTACTTACTTGAACTTAAATCTAAATCTAAACTTAAATCAAGATGCTAAGACAAATATAGAACCATATGTTTTAACAGAACGCCATTGAGCCATCTTTTGAGTTACAGTAAATCATTAAACCAATCCAACTAGTCTGTGGCCTTCAAAACTCTTCTAGGATCTAGAGCCAGCTTGGCTCCTCTAGGAAGGCAATGAATTTATCAAAAGCACAAAGCCAGTTGAATCTATAGCCAATCTATAGCCAATCTATAGCCAGTCTATAGCCAGTCTATAGCCAATCTATAGCCAATCTATAGCCAATCCCTAACCAAAAACCTTTTAGGTGAAAGACAAATACCATGGTTTGACTGGTCAAAAGGAAGAGCACAAGGCGGAGGCCAAAGAGCAAGCCGGCGCCGCGTGGGAGCAAGCTAAGGACAAGGTTTGGAGATCATTTTAGAATTGATATCTATATAGCTATATAAAATAGATAACTAAATAAAGCTCCAATGGATAACTGGATAATTAACTAGCTTTTCAGATGGGGGCAACAAAGGACAAAGCCTGCGACAAGAGTTGCAACAAGGTGAGCGAAGATTTTCTAAAGATTAGAGCTTTAAAAATCTATACTATGACGTAAAATGCCGTTTATTTTAAAGCATATATGGGAAAAGCATATATAGGAAAAGATTATAAGCTTTAAGCTTTAAATCCTCTCATCTTTTCCCATTCCAGACCGAAGAAGCAAAGGATTTCACGGCTCAGAAGTTGCACCAAGCCGGCCGTAATGTTCAGGCGCACTAAGCCCGCCTTTGCCGCCAATCGTTGAATTCGATCGATAGATCAATTTGCATAGAAATAGATTACTGTATTACTTTGCTGTACTTTCACATTACTTTACTATAAACCCTTGAAACTTTACCTTCCAATCACTGTCCTCCTGTGATCACCGAAAACTCGAAAAGAGCTCAAGTTAACCAAAATTCTTCGTGAAATAACCAATTTCCCCTTATTAACTTGACTTCTTATCCATTTTATGCAAGTTTTCAACATTCAACTTTCAAAATCTCCCAAATACCTCTCATGGAACTCGAGATTTTTCGAGTTCTCTTAAAAATTTGTATGCTTTTTTTAAATTCAAATATTTCTTTCATGAAAATATCTTGAATAAAGCTATAGACAATGTTTTTCAGAAAAAAAAGAAGAAAAAAACGAAAAGTGCATGTAAACAGGGAAAGTGCAAGAAGGCGGGGCTTAGGGAAAGGCAAAAAAAGAGAAAGAAAACAGGAAAGCAAAAGAATACGCTCAAAACAAAGCCGAGAGAACTGGGTAGACGGAGAGGATTGCAGAGAAATGAGAATTTTTCGTTATTTCGTCAACAAGAATCTGGATATAAAAGAGTAGATGGTCTTGGTTTCAATAGAGAATTTCCTCTTCCTCAAGCTCTTCCCCAAGCTCTTCTTCAAGCTCTGCCTCAAGCTCTGCCTTAAGCTCTTCCTCAAGCTCTTCTTCAAGCTCTTCCCCAAGCTCTTCTTCAAGCTCTGCCTCAAGCTCTGCCTTAAGCTCTTCTTCAAGCTCTTCCCCAAGCTCTTCCTCAAGCTCTTCCTTAACTTCTAAACATTCCCCACTCTTTAATTAACTTTTCTTTCTTTTTAAAGTTTAAACTTTATGCTTTGTCTTTGTCTTTGTCTAAAATCTTTGAGTTTCTAGCTAACCATAGCAAAAGTTGTTTGGAATACTTCTTTTAACAATTTCAATTTAATCGAACAATTTCGAATCCATTGTACTTCTTTAAAAGCTATTAACTAGGCTTCTCTATAACACTGACAAAGAAAAGTTCAAGGATTTTGAGATTAAAGGACAAAGATTAAAGATTCAAAGCTAAAAAGCTTAAAGTTTGATAGCTTTTCATAGTAGATAACATCTAGCAATCTTGAAGACTCAAACTATCTACTCCTTTAGCTGTAATACTCAATGTAATGGCTTATTTTCACTTAACTGAATATCTTTTCTATTTCTATTTCCAAATTACTTTATCAAAACTCGATTTGCTTTTTACAATTAGAGATTGTAATCAACTTCGAACTTTGTAGATTTTCAGCTTCATTTTCTGCTTTCTCTAACTTCTACAATGAAATATCCAATTCCAGAAAGTTATCTCTTGCGTTCAACAAATCTTCAATAAACAAACATGTCTGGAATTATGGATAAAACCAAGGATGCTGTGAGCAACGCCGCTGAGGCGGTCAGTTCTCTTTTTAAACGATCTTTGAAACTTTGAAAGAACTTTTTCAAGTTTCAAACTTTTGAAAAAACTATAGTAACATCGAAATATCTAAATCTAAATCTAAATAAGTTAAAAATCTAGGTGAAGGACAAGTTCCAAGAGCTCACTGGCACCACACCAGCCGATCGAGCCGAGGACAACGCGAAGGCTGCCTGGGAACAGACGAAGGACGAAGCCCGTGACAAGGTAAGAAATCAGAAAATCAGAAAGACTAGAAAAACTAGAAAAACTAGAAAAGCTTGAATAAGTACAGTAATTTGTAGACTAATTAGAAGATCTAATCATTCTCTGTCTTGTCTAGAAGTTATTCTCTCTTTTAACCATCGTTGTAGCTATACTTTGGCTCATTTTTCAATGCTAAGTGTTAATAGAATATTCAAGCTTACAATAAATAGTCAAAAGATATTCAGTCAATCAGTTAATAAAAGAGCTTTGAATAGCTGGAAAGCCAAAAGAAAGCAAAGGAAAGCAAAGAAAGCAAAAGAAAGCAAAGGAAAGCAAAGAAAGCTATCTAAATCTGATTCAGCTAAGCAAAAGCTATCTAAATCTGATTCAGCTAAGCAAAAGCTATCTAAATCTGATTTTTTTGACAATTTATATCAAAATTAAGTTCTTTTTCTTTAAAAAAGCTACTTTTTATAAGCTAATAAATCAATTTTTCAGAAAGAACAAGCCCAGGATTGGGCTAGCGAGAAGTTGCACAGGGCTGGAAGAAAAGTCGATGAACACTAAAAATTTCAATTAATTTCAATTTTATTAGCTTAATTCCCTATAATTTAATTTAGAAAACTTTAAAAAAGCCAAAAAAAGTGTTTTTTTCTTGCTTTTTTCGCCATGAACATAGTCCCAAATCGAGATTTTTTTTTTTGATTAAATCTTTGCTTTTGCTGATTGCTGACAAAATTTTGTCTCTATTTCTTTTACGAAAAAAGCAAAAGATCTAATCAGCTACCTCTTTATTTGTGTAAAAATTTGTAAATGATTATAAAGGTTTTTACAAAAGAAAATTCGCATTTCAAAACGGAAAATGATCGAGATTTTTGGAAAGTTTACAGAAAACTCTTTAAAAATACTATTGGGTTCGTGAATTGAAAACTGCGGCAGCTAACAGCTCTAGCTAACAGCTCTAGCTCTAGCTAACAGCTCTAGCTAAACAGCTCTAGCCAACAGCTCTAGCTAACAGCTCTAGCTAAACAGCTCTAGCTAACAGCTCTAGCTCTAGCTAACAGCTCTAGCTCTAGCTAACAGCTCTAGCTAACAGCTCTAGTCCTAGCTAAGCTAAATCTTCTAAATATAATACCAGTAAAGAATTGCGTTTCTCGATTGTATGAGCCAAGTTTTCGCTCTTGAACGATGCGTCGAAAGTGTCCGATCGGTAAATGCTTTATTTGATTCCGAAGGAACTCCTTTGTGTGTAAAGAGATACTGCTTTCATTTCTAAAATAAGAAAATTCGCATTTCAGAACGAAAAATGATCGAGATTTTTGAAAGTTTACAGAAAACTCTTTAAAAATACTATTGGGTTGGTGAAATTGTTTGCATTGATTCGTTTGAGCAAGGATTAAAACTCGGTGATGGTTTTGATCAGTTTTGTCTAACTATAAGACCCAGACTATCTATTGGGTTGGTGAATTGAAAACTGCGGGACTTTGAACGGGACGGGAAAGCAGTGATAATGGGATGGGCAAAAGATGAGATACCGGCCGGGATTCAATAAATATTTGTAATTGTTTAAGAACTATTGGGTTGGTCAATTGAAAACGGCGGGACTTTGAACTAAAATTTATTCAAAATAAAACGATGAATTCATTCCATTATTATTGACGACTTCTGCCCATTTTACAGGCAATTTGCGGATTCCTCTTTCGTAGTAGGATTTTGGTTTGTGTGTGAGACAAGTGTGAGACTCAAAAATCGAGGACTGGAGATGTCCCAATTTGAGCACTTTCTTCAAAAGAAACCCATTTTGGTGTCAATGGAAAAGTTGTAGAGAATCAAAAATGAAGCTTATATCCAAATTTACAAAAAGATACACTTAGTAGTTTCGCTTAAAATGCAAGTTGTGTGAAAATTCGTAAATTTCGCATTTCTTGAAAACCAGTTTTTGAATCGTTCTGAAAATTTGGATATAAGCTTGATTTTTGATTCTCTACAACTTTTCCATTGACACCAAAATGGGCTTCTTTTGAAGAAAGTGCTCAACTGGGACAATAGCCGGCAGTTTTCAATTCACCAACCCAATAGATTAGTCTTGATTACAACTTTTCCATTGACACCAAAATGGGCTTCTTTTGAAGAAAGTGCTCAAACTGTCACATATGATAATGGCAGTTTTCAATTCACCAACCCCATAGAAATTTCATGAAAACTAAGAAGATATACTTATTGTAGAATATTTAAAGAATGAATGTAAGAATTTAAGAATTTAAGAACTCATTCTACTTTTCATAGTTTACTTTTCTATTTTTCATAGTTTACTTTTCATAAATTTTTCAAAAATTTCTGTAACTAAGAGCAAAAATTAATCCATTTATCAGGAATTCCGAAAAAAAAAGATGGGAATTCTGAAAGGTTTAACTGAAAAAGAGATAATTTTCGGCCATATTCTATTTTCTGAAAACTAGAATGTTTAGAAGGAATTCGATTTTACTCATCTTTTTAATCAATGCCACATTTTGTGCTCAAAAGTTGCTCAACGTGAATGTGGTAAATGAAATGGATTCATTTTTGCTCTTATTTACAGAAATTTTTGAAAATTTTAAAAGAAAACTGTGAAAAATAGAATGAGTTCTTAAAGTCTTGCATTCTTACATTCTTACATTCTTAAATTCATTCTTTAAATATCTTACAATAAGAATATCTTCTTAGTTTTAGCAAAGTGGGGGACTGTTGGATCTGTTGGATCTGTTGGACTAATCCTTGTTAAGTTTCTCCTTTTCTAGAACATTCTAGTTTTCTGAAACATTCTAGTTTTCAGAAAAACGAATATAACCGAAATTAACTCTTTCATTTCAGCTTTCTCTTGTGCCGTTTTCTAAAAAGCTTTTGAATTTGTTTTTGTTTTTGTTTTTAAAATCAATTTGACTAAAAAGTCGACAGATAAAACAGGATTACAGTAGTCAAGAAAGCTTTCTGTTGGACTAACAAGGATTAGTCCAACAGATCCAACACAAGCAAGAAAGAGGATCCATTTCCATAGCAATGCTAGTTCTTTTCTCTTCAATCTTAACAAGATTAATCCAACAGAAAGTCCCAGTTTACCAGTAAGTGTATGTTTATACGGTGTAAATTCAACGTTCAATGATTTAAAGGTCTGTTAGGCAAGCAAGAATCACTCACAACCAACCGGTTTGTAAGCTAGCTACGGTCAAGCAACCGGTTTGAATCACAGAAGCTAGAGCCTGGTTTTTGGCGGCCCAAAGATAGTTTACAGTAAAGCCAATTGAATAGGTGAAGAGGTGAAGAGCCTGAGGAAAATTATCCTTTGAAACAAACTGGAGAAGAAGTACTGAATCAAATCATTTCAACTTCTAGATCTACCGTCACGGTGACCGAACTCCCATAAGTACAGCGCCCACTGATCCATACCAGGAAGATTTCTGGGGACTCCCATGGGGAACTCTAACAGTTGTAAGTTGATTTGAAATCTGTAAAATTGTAATCTAAATATCTAAATCTAAAAATCCCAGACCGGTATGCAGCAACAGTATGCAAATGGTTTAAAGTTGAAAGCTCGATACATCGATCAATTGAAACTCGTCAACGCCACCTATTCTCCGTATGAGGTATGGGGGGAAAGAACAGGTTTACAGCTAAAGTCTACAGTAATCTGAAATCTAAATCTGATCTAAATCTCAAAAATTATCCCCCACTTTAGACCTACGTGAAATCAGCTCAAACCGATCGTTGCATTCAATCAGCCGGCGCAAACATGGCCGCTTTCTACAGTGATTCGACGTTTAGACCCATTGATCCAGTGGGTTTTTGCAAAAAAAAAAAACAAATTCCCAATCCTATTCGATTATAAAATAAGCACTAGAAGCTCTAGAACAAGTTTCTGAAAGAATTTCCTAACAAAAACCCATCGCAAATCAACATATTACTTAATGAACTTACAGAATTGGCCCAACAACTACACTCCGATGCCGATCCATCTCAATCCAGCGCCAGATCGGGTAAAGCTTCTTTTTAGTGGCAGGCGAACATCGGTCCTGTAGTGTAGTGGTTATCACGTGCCCTTCACACGGGCAAGTTCGCCGGTTCGATCCCGGCCAGGACCTACTTTTTGGTTTTTTTTTAAATTTTGGATTTTAGTTTTTTCATCTACCTTAAGCTTTGAATTTATTTACATTTTCAGGAGTATGAGCCGGGCAAGGGATGTGACAAAGTTGAGGAGCTTTATGTGGAAAGAACTGCCGCCAATCCGACCTTTGTCGCTTATGAGCTTTCACATGCTGTAGGTTATTGTAGTGGATTAGAAAATATTCAAATCAATCCGGATTTCAAATCATTTCAAATCATTTCAAATTAATCCAACTTCTTCAGAAGCTCTTCCAGACCTGGGAGCAGAACACTAACTTGGGAATCCTTCAAATAAAGGACTTCTTCGATTATTTCGACACGGTTGTTTGTGAGGTATCTTGTCAAAAAATTTTGTTCATAATCTTCTGCATATCTGTAGCTTTGTTTCAATTTTATATCTCTTAATCTTGTCAAAACCTGTAGAAAGACCACAACTTGACCCTTCCGGCGTGGGTGACACCGGCAATCTTCAAAGAGGCTGAAGATGTGAAGAGTCAGACGCTCGACTATCTCGATGGAATGGGTAAAGCAAAATGTTTTTGATTATTAATTCAGCATATTTGAATAAGAATACAGTAGTATCCTAGCGGGCTTCGGTAAACCTGATGATATTCAAATGATTCGTCTCCGCGGTGGACCGTTGATGAAAACGATTCAATCGACATGGATTGAGAACTCGCAGTACAAATTCTACGTGCACTCGGCTGTAAGTGGGATATTATTATAAAAAGTTATCTTTTGTAAGAATTTGCCTATTTGATAAGGTTACGGTAGTTAGATACAGTAACCCTGATCCTATGTCTAGGGTTACGGTAGTCACTTTCACATGCAAATCTCAGCACGACACAACCGTGGACGCCATGTTGTACGTCTTGGCAGCAAAGACAACCGCTTTGGGCAAAATTCAACCGGACTATGCGGCAACTCTCATTTTCGAGACATGGAAAATGGATGATGGGTCGTTAGCCATACAAGTGGGTATCACAGAAACCTAGATCTACGCATACTGTAGGTGCTGTTCTCCACTAATGCTTATGACAACTTACACATCATTACAAGCGCCGTTTCTGGGTGTCCTGTCGGGGATTTTTGTCCGGTCACCCAATTTCTCAATCGGAACAATCCTTACATTCCAGATGATATTCAAAAGGTAATTGACCTCAATAAGTCACAATATCAAGGGAACCGATTTAGGAATGTCAAAAGTAGCAATTCTTCACTTCATAAATTATTTACACTTTATTCTTTTTTCACAATCGTATTCACAGACAAGCAAAATCTGGGAGAAAACACAAAAAGAATGCACGAATAAATTGCGCAAGCTCGTACACGAAAACAAAAGGAAAAAACGTAGATTCTCGTTAAAAAAAAGAAATAAAAATCACACAAAGATGGCAATAAATGAAAGGATTAAGTAGGTTAAATGGTGATGACGGATGAACTAAACATTGCGGTCATTGTTGTCGATGTGCTATCCGTTATCCCGATGATATTGATCGAATCTGGATGAATGACGTCGATCAAAGTAAACAGCACGAAGAGCAGGGCACAACCTAAAAGTTGCATCGTTTTATTAGTACCATTAAGCTTTTTAGAGAAAAAACAAAAACACCAATCCTGTAGATCACCCAAACCAGTGAGAAGAGGAATCGCGTGAGTATCCGGATCGACACCCAACCACCACATCAGATAGCACGTCAATTGGCCCCAGAGCATCAAGCATCCAATCTGAAAAAGCAATTGAGAAAGTCTACAGAAAATAAAAAACAATAAAGCAACACCTGAATAAATGCAAAGATGATGTAACCAACGACAAACATAAATCGAAATTTAGGTGGCATGTCTGTCCTAAAAACTCGGTTTTAAAACGATAAAAGGTAACAAACGTATGCAAGTGTAAGGCCATCACATAGGCAACAAAGATGAAGACAAGTTGATAGGGCAATGATCCAATGATGAGCACACGACTGCACTTGGCATCATTATCTAAAAGCGTGATGCACTATTAAGTAAAGCCTTTTACTAACCACAACTGTAGAAGAAGCGAAGCGGATTGAGATTTCTCCACAGTGAGCGGTTCTCCGGAAAAGTTCTCGTTTTCAAATTGCCCTTGCTAAAATCAAATTATATAGTAGTACATTTTCACGTATATTTTCAAATAAGACAATTTACCTATGAAGAAATGAGGAGATCCTAGACGCCAGTACTGCCACTCGGTTACCGCCAATACCTAAATTTAACTTTTTTAAAGTTGCGTTTATATAATTGAAGCTATATACAAATAGCGTATACATAACATATACAAATATACACATAGAAACCAAAAAAAGTACCTGATAATATGGGTTGATACAGTGTACAATCCGGATACTTTCTAGCCATCGCATCAAGAAGTGCTCCAGCGGCACTAAAATAAACGGTTCATAAGTAAATTACACAAACTACCATTGAAGTAGTGATGAAAGCACTAAACTGAACCAGCAGAACTTTAGTGTAACCCGAGCCGACTCTGAAAGCAAAAAGTTGCAAAAATTACAGGAGACAAACCATCCATCCACACGTAGTAAGCCCAACATGGCAGCAAAGCGAGAAAGATGATAATCACGACGTAGCTAGCACACCACGAATCTCGATACGACTTTTCCAGTAACGTTGCAAAACCAAACTAAAGAAGTGTTGCAAATTGTAAACTCAGTATAAAACTTACTAGAAGGCTAACACAGAAAAGATCACCGATCGAGGCAGCCAATGGAACGGTCACATTGTCGGGATTAAAGCGACATTTTCTAAATATAGCTGATAGTCAGACTTAAAGATACCAAAGCAAACCTTGAGATATAAACGAGCATCGTCGTCAAAAAACACATCAATCCGGCTGAAGTACAAACGGTGAGGAGAGATGATGAAGTTATTAACGGGATAAATTGGGCTGCCTGAAAAGAAACTCACTCTTCTATAACTCAATAATAACCAACTAACCGTTATCCCACCAGCGGTAACAATTTTCTTGGGCCAAATGATTGCAAACGTGATGATGCTGCTGAAAATGGCCATCAAAATGGCTTGTGTCTGAAAAGTTGATTGTGCAGGGCTTTTAAATTTAAAACAAACCTGAACAGTTGCTAGAAAGACGGGAAGCCGTTTCCATACATCCTTAAGTGATTGCAGCGCTCCAAGGTGTGCCTAAACAATCAATTTAGCAAGTAACATTAACTATTCGTAGAAGTTAAACCAGTAAAATCCACCAAAGTTGTCAATCGAGAAGCGTATGTCATGTCGAGATTCCCTTTTAAGCCCATCAACGGTGTCGACAAAGCCAACAAAGCGGGAGTTTTTCTAAAATTTACATTTGAAAAAGATATGCAAGCATTTTACTTGAAGAGTTCGGTTGTTGAGGCATAGCTGAGCACTTGCCCGGCAAAAATCGACCCGAGTCCCGCAATGAAAAAGGGTAAAGAGCTCTAAAGTAAGATTAGTCAAGACTAAAATTTTCACGCTGACTTGTCTTATCAAATCGATTGGTCTCTCGTAGTTGACAGCCTCGCGGAGTGACCATTCTTGGCTCAAATCAGCTGATCTAAAATAGAATGCAGAAAAGTCATAGCCAGGCATTTACGGAAATGAAAAACTGACGATGGTGAGCCTGTTACAGTTGTCGTTTCCACATCCACTGTTTGTGTCCTTTCAACCGTTATCCCCTCTTTCGTGGTTCGAAAATCTTTGTATAAGAGGTAGAATAACGAAAAAAAACCTCGTATCCGGTGCATCAAGTTGCACTGCCTTTTCAGTTTTCGACAAATCATCGGCATTGGTGCTAAAAGTTGAAATAAAGTAGTTGCTATACAAACTGTAAGCACCACTAGCACTAATCATAAAAAAAAAGAGAAAATTCTACCTTTGAGAAGCCGTTTGAGAAACCGTTGAATTTTGCACGCTGCTTTCATTACTAAACGTGAAACTTATGGAAATGCAGAAAAACAACGAACCCCATTGAAAACCGGACCTTTCCTGACAGCGGAAAGTGAAGAATGACTGGAAAATGGGAAAATCATTTCAAGTTAGAAAGCAAGAATGCACGGATGCTAATTTTTGGGGGACCCAGTTGCGCAGCTAGGTCTTTTGCGCAACTCGCCCATAACCTCCCTTCTAAGTGGGCTAATCTTTTTTTGATCTTGGTGTCATTTTGTAGATCTCAACAAGTGTAACAAAATGACACCAAAATCATAAAGCTGGCTGACTTAGAAATTTGCAAAAATTGCGAAAAAAAAATTTGGCGCAAAGTAGCCACCCCCAATTTTTGCGATAAACAAAAGTTAGGTGGCTAAAGCGTGGTAATTTTACCGTATTCTTCCACGTTTCGGGGGTGGGACAAATGCGACCTTTTTTGCGCACTTTTTTTCGCTGGAAAAGTCGTTAGGAAAAGCCGTAGAGCCTTAAAAATGGTTTCATATCGTATGCGTATGCTGCGTATGCGTATGGATAAGGGAATCGTATGGGTAGCTTCCGAATTTCTTGTAAATTTCTTTTAAAACGAAAAAATAGGCGGTACTACGCCAGTTGGGAGCCATTTTTTTTTCTTCAAAACCACTTTCTGGGGGTAGTTTTATGCCTAGCTTCCGAAAAACCCAAGAGCTTAGGAAAATGCGTTTTAAGCAGAGCACGCTCCAAAGTGCGTGCTCATACAGTATGATGAGATGGATACACATAGGGAAGAGGTCTAAAAATGGTTTCTCAAAACATTTTTTTGAAGTCAAAAACACTTCTGGTATAATTTAACCTACTGATGACGTTTCTGGTCAAATTGGAGCAAAATAAAAAAGTCTTTTTTTAATTTCTACTATGTTCGACCACCATGAGTCAAAAGCCCAAAATATTTTTTCTTTTTTTTGCCTCTACCAGTCAATTTAAGTTAGAAAATGAATATTTGGCGGTTAAAAATGGTTTTGGCTCTAGTTTTAACCTTGCCCCAATAAGCGTTAGCTTTGGCTCCATGTAGTGAAGTACACTATAGAAGCACGCACTTTGGAGCCCCGAAACTCTGCTTAAAACGCATTTTCCCAAGCTCGTGCGTTTTTCGGAATTTACGCATAAAACTACTCCAGAAAAAGTGGCTTTGAAGAAAAAAAGTCCCCCCCCCAACCGGCGTAGTACCAAATAGGCGCATAGAATTGCAAAAGCTATTGATGTTGCTCGCAAAAAGTTCGATATTGCTGCACTTTGCTATTCATTTTCTTTCCTGTTTTCGCTGGCATTACAATAGTTTTATTTTCAGAAACTCAGCAATGAGCTCGCAAATTGAAAGCTCGGAGTACGAAGACGCCGCGGAGATTTCGGTCGTGAAAGTTGGCCCAACAACTAAGGTATGTGTTTTGATTTAGTTTTATGAAGCGTGAGCTCTTTTTGAAGCACTGACATGAGGCCTAGTCTAAAGAGCTAAAAAGTTACGCTGTACCTGTCTTAATACCCGAATTTACTGGTCACCTTTTCTTTTTGATTTGGAAATTATAGGTAGCTAATTGTTTATTGCAGTGAACGCATTTTAGCCCTGTTTTTAGCAATCAAACTTTTTATAGCATTTTGTGTTTAGACTGAACAGGATCAACCAACAAGAAGAAGATCATCACGTAACTCGTCTATCAACGCGAAAGAGCGTATTACTGTGACAAGTGAATTTTTAGTTTATGCGTATCCCGCGTAGAGTTGTACCTAACGAATTCGGCAACAAATTTAAAGATATAAATAATTATTCGCTGGTGTAAAATCCATCAAGGTGTTTTAATTGGTTTGTTTTTAGAGCAAGTCATGTCCGGCAAATACGACTTCGACAATAAGGGAAGGCTTATCATGGAGACTCCAAAGACTCAGCGCATCAAGACGCCCAAGAAGGTTGCTGAAATTCCGAAAATTGATCGCAAGCTTGAAAAGAGAACCAGAAGCGATTCTTCGGGAAAGAGCGTTGCCACTGTGATCAGAAAGAGTCCAAAGCTGCGGAAGAATAATTCACGGGGAAATGATACATCGGTCGGATCTGCCAATGCTTCAAAGGAGGTGCTTGGTGCTGACAAGATTTCAAAGCTAGGATGTTCTCCCAAGAAGCATGCTGATGTTAACAACACTTCTATTGCCACTAGAAAACAACCGCAACGACGTTCCAATAAGCATCTTGATGCTGAAACGGCTTCTACTGACACTGCAAAAGAACTTTCTGATGTTGGCCAGGCCTCTACTGTCACAGCAAAACGATCACGAGGACGCCCTTCCATGAAGCATTTGGACAAAACTTCGTCGACCCCTATTCCAAGCTACTCTCAAATTCTCCAGATGGAAAAAAAAGAAGCTGTTGAAAAAGTCACGGAAGAAACACCGAAACGTAGAAAGGTATATTTTAAACTTTCTAATCGCTCGAGATTTTAACTACACTTTGATAGTTTAAGCAAGTTTTATGCAAAGCATATGCTTCGTAAGCGCAAAAGCATTCAAGCATTAACTATTTCAATAACATTTTTATTTTTTCTTACTTTTAGGCTCGATCTGCTGGTCAAGCTGACCCAAAGCCCAAGACTAATTTTGACGCTGCAAATAAGAAAGAGACCAAGCTCGTTGAAGTGCTTTTTTTTCGGTAAATACCTATTTAATTTTCTACTACAGGGTTGGGTTGATTGGATTGAAGCTCGTGTGGACTATCTGGAAAAGCTCGTTTCGACTGTAGCTATAGATGTGAGTGGTTTTTTTACTTAAAAAATTCAAGGTTACACAATACGCAGAAAAGCTTTTTCTTTAGACGGCTCAAACCGTTTATGCCGATGTAAATGATGACCTTCAGCAAATTTCCACGTTGAAAGATGCTTCGCTTCAGCGACAGTTGGCGCCCGGCGTTTTCTTGGAGCAATATCAGAAAGAGGTTCAACAATGGCAGCGACAATCTCATCCACCATGTCCAGTTCGTCAACATGATCTAATGGAGTTGTCAGGTTAGCGTTCTCTTTGCTTGCTATATAATTGATTGATGTAGCATTAAAGAATGAGCTTTAATAATTCGTAGGCATTTTTGCACAAAAAAGTAATTTAGTTCGGCCTTCTGGCCAAAAGCGTCTGCATCGATCCGCCCACAATCTGGATCAATCAGGAGTATGTCTTTGCGCAATTATTTATCTAATCGTTCAACTTAGATGTCCAAGTATCTCGATCCAGCCAATATCACACTCGAGCCTGAAGCTGCTTCCGAAGAGACGCTGGATTTGAATGTTGTTACCGCTAATCAAGTTTGTTGTTTTGAAGCGTGTCACAAAACTAAAAGTAATAAAGGGAGTTTACATCATATTCAAAACGATAACATCTGTTTTCTTTAGGTTGGATCAGGTCATGCTGCACTCCCACCTGAGTACGAGGAAATGGAATATGGCAGTAAAATCGGTTTCTGGCTGGATCGATGCGACGAAGACGACAAATGATCAACCACTAAAGAAGGCTCTTAAAATTTTTTTTGCATTTTCCCGGCTTGGTTTGTTTAGCTCAATCACACGTCATTCCTTTTGTTACATTCAGTGCATCTTGCCTATTTTCGTTCTTGTTTTGTTACTGCTAAAAAAATAAATGTTGTTACTCTAAAGTTTATTTTGAAGAAAGTATTGGAACTATCAATAAGCTTAAAAACGCCTATTTAAATCTTTAAATGATCAAATGATGAAAGAGTGCTGATTGGTTACATTCGCCGGTTGTCAATTTTATGGAAAAGTTTTTAATGTTAACGAGGAATGCAAGTGAAGACTAAACGCTTTACTTCGATATTTCACCATTCAAACACAAAATTTGTGAGTATTTATTGCTTTAAATGGGTGCGTGGTGTGAGCTGTGTTATGCCATGATTCATTTTCGTCTCTCGTGACCCTCGCTGTCTGTGCGATTTTCTCGTCTCTGCGATGAATGGAAGACATGCAGAGGGAATGGTGGGGCAGATCCCAGACATACCAGACAGATGAGGGGCAACACAAAATGGTCAACCCGGCAGACAGAGGAGCCCCTCTGTGTGTGCGACCCCTCTGGATCCATCTTTCATTGAAATTCCTCGGTTTCATTCTCTACTCTGCCTGTCCCCGTGCCCCCATTTATCAGCTGGTCAAATATAGTTAGGCTGTACGAATTTTGCATCCCTTTCTATTGAAACATTTTCCAAATCCATTTTTGATCATGCGGTTGTGCGGTTGATTAGTCGGTTGTACTTATTTTTGGGATTTCATTGATGAATATGCTTTTTGATAGTACATACTTGATACTTTGTGCAATCATGCTTTTTGAAACTCACTTTGACTCTTTTATTTTTCAGATGATGGACGAAGTGGCCGAAGCCCTGGAACAGGCCAGAGATGTCGTCGAAGGGCCGCGTCGAAAAAAGAGCTCGATCTGGCAGATGGATCCTCATCTCATCCATGAAAGTTCTTCTGTACAAGTATGTTTTACAGATGAAAATCTTTTGGGTTATAAGCTAGCGCTAACTATAAGTCATTCAGTAAATAAATTAAAGTTAGCTTTGTTAAAAATAAATAGCTTCTAAAAAAGATTGTAAGTTAGCTTTTGCGCTTACCTACTAAATCAATATTCAAGAAAGAAAAACTATTTTTGTCACCACACTTATGAATACATAATGGCGGCTTATTTGGAGGTAATTTCGTAATCGCGAGTGTCAATAAATGGCGTGGTTGTTTTATTCGCCCTTTGCACTTTCTTTTTTCATTCCAAATAGGTCGAAAAGTTGGACGCGAATTTGAAAATTGATATAGAACCGGTTCTATGGTGTTGTGCAGATAACAAGATAATAGCGCAATGACAAAAAGTAGTCTGAATTTAAATTTTAGAAAATTCTATGTTGGTTAACTGAACGATAAACTAGAAACGGTTTATTTGTTTAGTAAAATTTACAGTTTTGTGATTATATGATGTTGGAGGACAATTTGTCTTGCTTAGGTGAAGAATGGTCCTACAGCTTCCTCGGAGGAGCCGCTTGAAGTGACTGTGAGTCGAACAACTGTCGTCTCGCAACCAAACAGCGACGACGAAGACTATGGTAATTAATCAATTGAGCAATACTTTCCTACATAGTTGTCCAACCTCAAGAACTTTTAAAGAAATATTGAAATGGGAAGTTCAGGATGAAAAGCCATGTTCAATTAAGTTGAATATCGAAGTAACTAAAAAACGCCTGAGTTGTATTACTAATGATACAAATCTTTTATTCAATCTTTGCTTTTAGGTTCTTGGTCTGATACGGACGTGCTTCGCGCTCGATCTGGATCGTGCCGCTCTCGTTTGGCGGGTGGAAGTGATGACGAGCAGCCTCGGGAAACCAAGCTCACTTACAGAAGGTAATTTAAAACATAGATAAAATAACTGAAATCTTTTGTTCTCGATAAAGTATTTACTTTCCAGAAAACGCGGTGGTCAATGGAAACGCGTCGAGAAAATCGACTCTGCAATTGCTCCCGATGAGGATGAACTTGAGGTATTTTTTTGTAACCCTGTTGCAATTTTTCTTGTTTAGGTAAACGTGAAAGAAGAATGCTCTGGCGAGGCTGGCCATCTGATTACAACGGTGAGTCTTGATTTGTTTTTGGGTTTATTCTTTTTCTAGACATACGATGTGAAATGGCGGGTGATGAAGTACGAGAATTTGCCCGAATGGCTTCAGGATAACGAGTTTTTGAGGTAGATAAAAACATTACAAGCAAAGAAAACAAATTTATTTTAGGCATGGGCATCGCCCTCCATTGCCCTCATTCGCTGAGTGTTTCAAGAGCATTTGGAGTCTTCACACCGAGACGGGCAATATTTGGACGCACTTGATTGGTAAGCTTTGTTGTTTATTGGATTGCTGTAGGCGATGGAAACAATCTTCTCTGCAGAAAATAGGCTAGAACTTTTTCCAATCTAACAATATCCCTTGCCGAATTGATTTGAATGATATTTGAATGATTTTGGTTGTGCCGAATCTTAAAAAAACTTGAGTTTTAAGATCATGGATTATCTTTTTTTGTTTCAATGAGTTCCGGTCGTAATCTGTTAGACTTTTTCGAGTCTTTTTTTTGTTTGATCGCAGTTCCAAAGCACTTTTTCATGATAGGCAATGGGGAAGAGAGCGTCACGTGGTAGTCTCCCCCACGTGCTCGCGAATGGCAACAAAAGCGAGGTGAAAAGACGCGAGAAATCGGCTCAGAGGAAAAAAAAAGAAAAACCAGCTCGTTTTTTTCCGGGGAAATTTCATTGATACGATTTTAAATTGGGGAAATTTTGGTTTTTTACAATGATGTGAGCTGACAACATGATAAGGCGTAGTTGAATTGCGAATGAATTGTGGAGATGAAAATACACGTTTAAAACAAAATTATAAAAAAATAAAAGATTGTAAATGGCGTTAATATCGCTATTTCAGGATGCGTTGCCTTCTTCCTTCTTGCAATTTGGTTCCTCACTCGTCCAGAAAATCACATCCAATTCCAGGTAATAGTTTGGTAGATGTTCAAACCTTTCAACTTTTTAGGATAAGAGGTTTGAACCCAGAAAATCATATCCAATTCCAGGAGAAAGTAGTCTTCTCGTTCTTTTTTGGTGGTGCCATTTTGTGTCTTGGCCTCTCATTTGCTTTTCACACACTTTCTTGTCACTCGGTGAATGTTGTGAAAATCTTTTGCAAGTGAGTCTTAACCGAGCTAATTCAGTTAACTAACAATAAACAAGCAACCGTTTTAATTTTAGGCTGGATTACATGGGTATATCGCTGCTGATCGTTGGTTCGTTCATTCCGTGGATCTACTATGGTTTTTATTGTCGACGGTAAGTTGAAAGTTTTAAATAGGCAAATATTGTTTTATTTTAGTGAACCGAAGATCACTTACATTGGTGAGGTTTTGAAATCTTTGAGAGAGAAAAGCGCTCAAGAAGTTTGAAAATTATTGTGCATTTACGGTTTGGGAAACTTACGTTCATTAATATACATAAACTAAAGAACTTCGACTATGTTTAGCTATGGTAACTCTTCTCGGAGCCGCAGCTATCACTGTGTCAATGTGGGATCGATTCTCGGAGCCTCGCTTCAGACCCTTCAGAGCCGGAGTATTTGTGGCGATGGGATGTTCAGGTACGTGAGTTCTTCTGTATCAACATAGTGATTACCAGAGCCTTAGCAGCATAGTTGTATTTATTTACTTTGAGTTATATTTCTTGATTTAGGCGTTATTCCAACAGTTCACTACATCATCACGGACGGCGTGCAATCACTTTTCAACGAGAATTCGTTCCACTGGCTTCTGTTGATGGCCGCTTTGTATTTGATTGGTGCTTTGCTATACGCAACGCGAACTCCAGAACGATTTTTCCCAGGAAAATGTGATATTTGGGTAAGTTGAAAGTTTTGAATAGGCAAATGTTTGGTGGTTTTACTTTAGTTCCAATCTCATCAGCTATTCCATACTTGTGTCGTTATTGCGGCTTTCGTACATTACTACGGGATTTCTGAGGTAGGCTTGGTTTCATAACATGTTAAAAGATTTAAGTAGTGATCCTGAACAGTGAATTACTTTGAAAAATGGGTCATATGCTACTTTTTAGATGGCAATGTCACGATTGAGTCAGACGTGTCCCATCGTTCTTCCCGCCAATCCAATCCTTCAATCAATCAACCCCGAACTCTAGGCATCAGTATTAGGCCTACATTTTAAACGTTTTATCTAAAGTTTTACCCAATGTTTTGTAATAACTTTTTCTCTTCTCAGTACAAGCCATCGAGCTTTTGGTTAGACCATTTTTCGCTGTATAGGTTTTGCTTTGAATGGTGGTGTGTTTTTGTTTGGGTTGTAGTCGTATTGCTCATTTTAGTCAGGACTAGCCGGCGGTAGCTTTATTCGGCTTACTTTGTGGGAGTTCTCTGGTCTCTTCCATTTTTAGCGATTTATTGTTATATCTACTCGATTCACTTGGATGGAGTAGACAATAGGGATATTTTGAAAAGATGAGCCCGAAAATGAACTTACAAACCAATTTAGGAAGTCACCGGCTCAAAATTTTCGTAAATGTCCCAAACTGTCAATTCCTGCTATTGATAAACATTGCCTTCCCGGTGTTTTTTCCGCCTTCAGCATGGCTTTATGCTTTTGTTTATTCCTGATAAGTAAGGCTCTTTCTCTTTTTTGCCCCCAAACTTTTTAGATATCAAATTTGGCTGTTGAAATGATGTATTTTCTCCTGTTTAAGATTTGAATAAACATTTGTTCGTACGATTGTAGCTTGTTTTTGAATAGGTCAAGGACATCTCACAATTGCCCTCTACTCTGCTTTTGTTTTCGAGGCTGTGTCCTCTTTCTCTATTTCGGGTCAAAAGGGGGATTTCGACGTAAACAAATCGATTTCCTCTGCATTTGTTGGGTGCGAGAACAGTTTTTGCAAGAATCGCAAAGCTAAATGATTTTCTAGCGTCTTTCATCCTTTGATACCGATTTGTGAACTTTTCTAGCTCATCTTGAGTTGTTTAAGACTAGGTTTCTAAGCAATTAGAGGCCGAGTTCCCAAATGAATGCTCATCTCACAATCAGCTTCTGTAGAATATTCCGTAATTTCCTTTCCTATAAAATAATCTTATTTTGAGCAATCATTGCTTAAATTGCTATTTTGAGAAGTTACCTTCCGAAGTCTATCTTGATTTTTGTAAATTCCAGAAATGACTGATCACTCATTCGAGCATGTCGAGGGTGGATCGGTGATGTTGAACACGGGACATCGAATGCCGATGATCGGGCTGGGCACGTATAAAATTGCTGGGGTGAGTGAAATGATGTTAGAAAGGCAACGAGGGAAATTGAAGTAAGTTTATTCTCTCTCTTAAATTACTTTTATGACAGGTTATGCAACGCTAAGAACTATCGAGAAGTTAAGAATTACCACTCAAAACTTGATTAGGTAAATTTTAAAAAACATTTCAGCCAGATGTGGTAAATGCTTTGGATGCGGCACTCCGAATTGGTTATCGTTGTTTTGATACAGCGATCAAATATGGAAACGAAGCTGAATTAGGAGCGGCTTTCGAGGTAAAAAATATCGACCATTTGAAAAACCATTACTCAATTACTTACCTGACAATCTAATAATGAAAAATTTCAGATTTTGTTACCCATTCATCGTCTAAAACGAGAGGACATCTTTATCGCATCGAAGATCTTCCCAGCAGAGAAAAATTTCGTTGAAGAGTGCGAAAAAGGAGTCGAGGAAAGTCTGGTGAAATTGAGAACGAGGTTAGTTTGGGGTTTACAAAAATGTAGAATTGAATGAGGTAAAAAATTTGAGTGCTAGCTACGAATCTCCATATCTTCAGACCTTTGTAATTGATTTATCTTCGATTCTTCATCTTTCAGTTACATTGATCTCTACCTTGTTCACTATCCAACTTATGATGTCTTTTCTGAAGAAGCTGATAAAGATCCGATTAACAAGGAAAGAAGAAGGGAAACGTATTTGACGCTGAAGAGAATTGCAGGTAAACTTTTCATTAAAAGATTACGGGAGCTTTTGACAACTTTTTAGAAAACTCTTTACTGTCAGAAATAGCCAAGAAATAGCCAATATCATAGTTTTCAAATATTCATGTTAAAGTTCAAGTTTTTATATTATTCTTAACGATTTTATAGTTTAGAATATCTAATTTCAGCTCAAGGCAAGATTCGATCAGTTGGCGTCTCGAATTTCGAGCCACATCACCTAGAGGAGTTGGACGATTTAAACGATCCACCAGCTGTAAATCAAGTGAGATTTTATAGACATTGAGAAAAGATTAGAATTAACAAAAAAAAAACTGATTTCCAGGTCGAATTCCATCCGCATTTCACTCGAAAGAACATCATCAAAGCGTGTAAAGATCGGGGAATCGTTTTCACGGTAAAGCTAAAAAATAAAAACCTAGTATGACTTTGAAAAATCTCAATCTATAAGATAAAAATAGGCATATATTAATTGTCATTCAGGCTTTTGGATCTCTTGGACGAATGGAACCATCACTATTCCAGGACGAGGCGCTCGAGCGTTTGACAGAGGAAATGGGATGCAATAGAGCGGTGGGTTTTTTTGAGAGAAAGGAATTAGCTTATTCGGTTGACTTGTTGACTTGACTGATGGTCTTGTGTGGCTCACAATGTGCATCTTTTCTCAGTCCTGGTTTCTCTTTCCTTTCTTTTACAAGCTATCTGGTTTATTCAAAGAATTAAACTCGTATTTTTAGATATAATTCGAAAAAAGACTAATTTCCAGCAAGTGCTCATCTCGTACGCGCTTAGCCAAGAGATCCCAGTGTGCCCAAAGTCGATACATGAAGAACGATTGAAACAAAACTTTGCGGTAATCAAAAGGCAGCTAGATTGTGGAAAAAAATTGGATTTGAGAGAGTGCTTTTCTATTAGAATAATGATGGTAATTAACTGAAATTCTGTTGAAAACATTAATTTCCCGTTTTAGGCCTACAAATTTCGTCTTTCCGACGAGAAAGTCGAGGCGTTGAACGCTAGGAACAAGCCAGGAACACAGGGGAATTATATTCGAGCCTATGGATGGAGAGTTGTCTGAAATTATGATACTTTTAAATATTAAATCAAATAAAATATTAGATTTATTTATATTTGTTGATTTATTGTCTGATATTGGTTTATATTTGTTGATTTCTTGTCGAGAAATTGTTTGAAAAAGCACAATGAAGTTGAGAAAGCAAAAGAAAGAAAAAGCAAAAGAAAAGAAAGAAGCAAAAGAAAAGAAGCAAAAGAAAGAAACAAAGGAAAGAAACAAAGGAAAGAAGTAAAGGAAAGAAGCAAAGGAAAGAACATTTAAAAACAGAGCTATTATAGCTATTTATTATATAATTTTACTATCAATATCAACTTTTTATAAGTCTTTTATCTAGTTCATCATTTTAATCATTTCTTTATTTAAAAAAAAACAACGATTTTCCTTTCGTTTTCCACATAGAATTGAAACTAAAAAAAGCTTTTGAGAAAGAAATCGATTGCGCATTTCAAATCTTCAAGGTCAAACCTTTTCAAAAAAATTATGAAAACTTTGTATTTTTTATTTCTTTTCCAATATTTTATTCAAGGAAGAATCACGAGATTTGGTAGAATTTTTGAATTTTTGAATTTTAGGGAAATCATTTTTCTATCTTTTCTGGTGCTTGAAAATCGAAATGAAACCTTTTTCATTTTTATTGAATAACATAAAACGACTTTATTGAGCACAAAATGCACATCATTAGACAATGGATAGCATTTGTTGAGCTAGTCGAATTGGTACTTGTCGTTTATATTGGCTTATTGATCCTCTACAAGGCTTATTGATCCCCTACAAGGCTTATTGATCCCCTACAAGGCTTATTGATCCCCTACAGGGCTTATTGATCCTCTACAAGGCTTATTGATCCCCTACAAGGCTTATTGATCCCCTACAGGGCTTATTGATCCTCTACAAGGCTTATTGATCCCCTACAAGGCTTATTGATCCCCTACAGGGCTTATTAATCAACTAAATTAACTAATCAAACTATTGTTTTACGTAGTTCTAGTTCAAATTGATCTATGTCTATTGTAAATTAGTTTAGAAGTATTCCTTGAACATCTTTAAACATTAAACTACACATAATTATACTAATTTAACTTGTTTTTTTGGAGTATAACTGAAAAGCAAGTACAAGAAGTGCTTGCAAGTACAAGAAATGCTTGCAAGTACAAGAGATGCTTGCAAGTACAAAGAAATCTTTCCACTATAGCCAAGGTAAACGCAATCAAGTTTATCACTTTTTAAGCAGTTTTCTTAAACGAATTGTTACTGGATTACGGTTTTAAGTAGTAAGCTTTTCCTTTAGAAAGATTTTCAAACACTCATTGCTATTTGGTTTATCAAATCGGGACTTAAAGATAGTTACGAAAACTGGCTAAATAAAAAGTAGCAAATAAAAAGTAGCATTTGTGAAGCTAGTCAAATCTATTATCATATCAATGTGCTTTTCAGTGAAACGAGATCTGGCTGAGCATCTTTCTCAATATCTCTTTGGTGATCAAGATGAGCAACTTGTAGCTGAAGAGAGACGCCATTTTTTATTACCTTACGCGAATCACACAGATCGATACAATGTTGGGCTACATATTGGGTGAGTACATTGAAGTACAGAGTACATTGAAGAAATCATACATCAAGAAATCATACATCAAATTGATTCAAATCAATCTGAACAACAGTAAGTAGTAAACAGTAATAAACAACAAGTAAACAACAACAGCAATAAGTAAGATTGCCTCTATCGAACTAGCTACATCTACAATAATAAACTGGGGAATCATTTTTGCTCTTTTTTGAACCATTTCCAAGTTCTTATATGCTAAAAGTGTTCAAAATTCGATAGATAACTCGATACTTGTTGAGCTTTCCTTATAAAATAAACACTTCCTTATAAGCACTCCCTTATAAGCACTTCTTTATAAGCACTTCCTTATAAGCACTTCCTTATAAGCCCTTTCTTATAAGCCCTTTCTTATAAGCCCTTTCTTATAAACCCTTCCTTATAAACACTTCCTTATAAACACTTCCTTATAAACACTTCCTTATAAACACTTCCTTATAAACACTTCCTTATAAACGCTTCCTTATAAACACTTCCTTATAAACACTTCCTTATAAACACTTCCTTATAAACACTTCCTTATAAACCCTTCCTTATAAACTCTTCCTTATAAACCCTTCCTTATAAACCCTTCCCTATAAACACTTCCTTATTCCTTATAAACTTTACGATCGAATTTACAATTCAAATTGAGGGGAAAAGACAAACAACTAGTATGGTAATTGTTAATTGTGTGGGTAAAGATAAAAAAAAGGTGATAATTGATAATTAATTTGGTTAATTAATTTGATAATTAATTCTAGTTATATTTAGTTATACTTAGTTATATTTTAGAGTGGGTGAAGTCGAGATTTCAACAATTTTCTGTGGAATCTCGAGAGAAAATGGTCGCTTTACGAAAGGAAATCATCACTTGCGAATCAATCTCACTTTTCTTTACCCAATTGAGGTATCTAAATCTAAATAGTTTAACTAAATAGATAAACTAAATAGTTTAACGCTTAAATTGAATCGATTTGAATCAAGCAATGCATTTGTTTCATTCAGAATCATTCTTTTTCATTTCCTACTCGAAGCTACTCATTTACTACACTGAGGCTTTGAGAAAACGATTCTAAATCTTTTAAAAATGTGACTATAGAATGTAAATATCGAATGGAATTGTTTTGAAATGTTTTAAAATGTTTTAAAATGTTTTAAAATGTTTTAAAATATATTAAAATCAATTTCTGGATCATTTAGAGTTTCCTAGATCAATAAAAACTCGAAAAACAAATTCTTTTCCGAAAATCTTTTCGAAATGATCAGAGAAAACAGAAAAATAAGTGTAAAAAGAGATTTGAAAAAAGAAATTTAGAAAATCTAAAGTTAACCGTGTTTATATTTAAAATCTATTTTCCAGTTTTGATCCAACAAAATTTCTAGTTGAACTTTCTAGGTGAGTTCAATTTTTTTTCGATTTATTATAGAAGAAATAAGAATAGAGCCCTTTCCTTTTCTAAAACCGAAAAGAATGAAAGTTTCAAAGTCTCGATGTATTTTGGCAATACAGCCAAATCGTCGGACGAAATGCCAAATCGCCGGAATACTTTGAGTGTGGGGCCCAGAAAGGGAAGGGTCTGTCGATCTGCCAAGTTGAGCAACGTCGGCGCGGGTTAGTCGTGGGTTCGACTCCCATGGGTTCCCCTCCGAGCGCCCCAGCCCGGCCATCGGAGTATCATCGGCTACGACAACTACACTTCTACCTCAGTAAATGTGGAAGCGGGTTGTGATCTGCGCTAAGTGCGAAGACAGATCAAATCATTATTTTTTTTTTACTTTGAGTGTGCAACTTTGATTTAACTTTGATTGAGATTCGATCCTTTTTCAGCTTTGACTAAAGCAAAAGCAAAAAGTTATTAGGTTGAGGAAAAAGTAATGTCGGTTTTTGTCACAAAACTGTTTATTGCTAAAAACATAAACAAACGCACATCAATCAATGAGATATTCTCAATTATTATTGATGACTTGTTCCAATCTTTGTCGCAGGTCCCTGATCCCATCCTCCAAAAAAAAAATCGGGAGTTTTTGAGCCAAAATAAGTGTCGACTGCTTTTTTTTTGATCTGTGCATGATTCTCGAACTTTCCTCCCATAAGAAAATTCTTCAACGACCGAAACAAAAAATAATCTGATGGGGCCAGGTCCGGTCAGGTCAGGTCCGGTCAGGTCAGGTCAGGTCCGGATCAGGTCAGTTCAGGTCCGGTCCAGATCAGGTCAGGGCCGGTCAGGTCAGGTCCGGATCAGGTCAGGTCAGGTCCGGCCCATAGGATCAGGTAATTTATCAAAAAATAGCCCTGAATTTCAGCTATTTTTTGATACCTAAGCGCGCATAGTAGCATAAACCAGTGTCGAGAAAAACTCGCTCAAAGCTAGACTCCACACCGTCATTATGGGGGCGGGGTACTGTTAGTATTTACGGTAGATAAATCTTCTGTAGATATATAGTGCGGATTTGGATAGAAATCAATCGTTAAAGCGCTACTGTTATCTCGATTCTTTCTTAGTTTTTATGACTCTATAAAAGGAAAAGAGTAAAATAGCATTAAAAAGCACTTTAATCTAATTTTTAAGCTTTTCTTTGCATATTTTGGGGTAAAGAAGCGCTTGAAATAGTCGATTTTTGTTGTAAAAATGACGTAAAAAGATAAAAGTTTAGTTAAAAACTTAAATCAAAAGGATACTAATGAAAGTTTACGAAACAACTGGACCCAAATCGGATCACACATATACAGTTTGTTTACTCTCCAAGACCTAGATTCCATTTACAAGGTCTCGAATCGTTTTCTGAGAGTTTTCTGATAGAATACTAGAGTGGGAGTAAGCTATTTAGGGAATCTATTAGGTTGGTGCAAAAGAAATTTCGGTCGATATAAAATGCTCTTATTTTTTTAATCTGAAGAGCTTATTTGATGTTCTTTTGTGCATTTGTACTCTTGGATATTTACTTTATTTTCGCATTTTTTCAAAGTCAGAGCTTTCACTTTTTAATTGATTTTTGCTTTAGATCATGGTGGATCAAAAGTATGTTCTGCGCACGTGTCTTCTCTCTCTATGACTTCAAAATGGGCAAAAACGCTGCTGATTCACATCGTGATCTCTGTTCCGCCTTTGGAGAACAGGTTATCACCGAAAGATCATGCCAGCTCTGGTTTGCCCAATTCCGAGATGGTAATGAATCCCTTGAAGACGAATCGCATGGACATCGTGCCACAGCCATCGACAACAATGAATTGGAACAATTAATTGAAGCTGATCCAATGCAAACAACACGAGAACTTGCCAAACATCTCAATGTGATCATTCAACAATTGTACGCCATTTGGAAATAATTGGAAAGACAAATCGTAATGGACAATGGGTTCCACATCAATTGAGTGTTGAGAATCTGGGAGCACGCGTTCCGATCAGCCATATCTTGCTCCAGAAGTCGAAAGAAGCCATTTTTTTTGAGAATATCTTGACGATGGATGAGAAGTGGATTCACTTTGATAATACTTCTCGAAAAAGGCAATGGCTGAGCAAAGGTCAAGCGCCAATTCCAACTCCAAAGCCGGATTATCATGGGCGCAAAGTGATGTTGTCTTGCTGGTGGAATATCAATGGACTTGTTCATTTTGAATTATTAGAGCCCGGAAAAACAGTCGATTCATCTTATTTTATTCAACAACTCAAGAAGGTTGACGAAATTTTGCGTGAAAAAGGCCTAAATCCCTCAACTATCAACTTTCTCCGTGATAATGCTCCAGCTCACACGGCAAAAACCTCTTGTAAGGAACTAGAGAAGCTAGGATGGAAGGTCTTACCACATGCGCCGTATAGTCCAGACTTAGCACCCTCCGATTTTCACCTTTTCAGATCGATGCAACATTCCCTTGAGAATTGCCAGTTTAAGAATGCAAAAGAAGTCGAAAATTGGGTGACTACTTTGCATCACAGAATCAAGCGTTCTTTGAGAAGGGGATCCGCAATCTGAAGCAACGTTGGAGGGATGTCATAGATAATAATGGTGCTTATTGTTTTAAATAAATTGTTATCTAAAAAAATTTTGGATGACTTTAATGTTTGTAAAAAAAAACGAAATTTCATTTGCACCAACCTAGTATTTAGGGAAGCTTCAGGCTACCAGGGAAGCTTCAGGCCACCAGGGAAGCTTGAGGCTGGACCAGGCTAAACCAACCCTAACCAGGCCTTGCTTAGGACAAGGTCAGCTTACAGGCAGCTCCATGTCAAGCTAACCCAACCAGAGCAGCCAAACCAGCCAAACCAGCCAAGCCAGCCAAGCCAGCTCAACCGAGCCAGCCCACGTCAGAAGGTTAGGCTCAGGCTCAGGCCAGCCCATCCTAAAACCTGTCTAGGTCAATCTGACCCAATAAATATATACAGCTATCCAAGATTACTGCTGCTAACAATGATTCTTTTAGAATTGTCGAGTTGATTTCGTTGAGATTGAAGTTCACGCCCGGGTTCTCTCCAGAATGCATTTATTTCATGAGGGTGAAGAGCTCGATTCATCTGAAGAAAAGAAGAAAATTCGATGGACGGTATACGATTCAAATCCTTTAAAACCCTCTTCCCAACCCCCTCAACCAAGCGGTCCTGTGGTGTAGTGGTTATCACGTGCCCTTCACACGGGCAAGGTCGCCGGTTCGAGCCCGGCCAGGACCTATGTTTTTTGCTTTCTTCAAGAATCTAGGATTTTAATTAACACAGGTTTTAGAGGATATTTTAAACCTAACTAAGCTAACTTTAAACCTTAATTTAACTAATCACTTGATTAGCTTTAATTGACTAGCTTGGACTATAAAGTAAGTAGAAACAATTAGTAGTACTAATATAATTAGCCACTATAATTATTTCAGCTACTTTGGACGATTTTGATCATCTGTTCGTGTCTGGTTTGCTCGTTGGGTGCTTGTTTCTATCGATATCGCAAATCGCATTTGAGGATTTCGCCAGAGGCGGTGAAAATCGAGACAAAAGAGAAGAAAATTTCATATCAAGAGGTTGAGATGAGAAAGATTTCAAGGAAAGGCTCTCGTTTCGAGGAATCGTTGAAGTTTTGAGTGCTTGAAATATATGTATTCTATATGATTGATTGTGTGAAATTGATTGATTGATTGTGTAAAGCCACTTTTCTACATGATTCATTTTTCATTTTGGCTGGATCTCTTTAGTTTAAATGAAATTCTTAGCTGAATACTTGATTATTGTAATGTTTAAGTGACTTTTCGCTTTATTTTAAATGATTAATGGTTTAATTTATGTTTATTGTGAATTTTTTCAATAAACTCGGGGGTGGAACAAATGCGACCTTTTTTTGCGCACCTGGACATTTGCGCACCTTTTTTTTTGCTGGAAAAGGCCTTAGGAAAGGTCGTAGAGCTTCAAAAACATTTCCATCTAAGGGAATCGTATGCGTAGATTCCGAATTTCGACAAATCAGACCTCGCTGACACGTCAAATTTGGGCTAAAAGGCAAAAACTACGCAACTTAACGCTTTTCCGCAGTTTTTGCCTTTTAGCCCAAATTTGACGTGTCAGCGGGGTCTGATTTGTCGAAATTCGGAATCTACGCATACGATTCCCTTAGATGGAAATGTTTTTGAAGCTCTACGACCTTTCCTAAGGCCTTTTCCAGCAAAAAAAAAGGTGCGCAAATGTCCAGGTGCGCAAAAAAATAGATCGCATTTGTCCCACCCCCATAAACTCTACATTTCTTTACACTAGAAACATCAAAAACGAAAAATTCGACTATTTAAAGAGAAATCTCACAAAGAAAACCGGTGAGGAGAGGGGTTTTTTTTCTTGGGAGTAAATTGGGTGCTCTTAAAGCGATTACTTTGAATACTTTCGTTTAGGAGTCGATTTGAATCAATTCTTCTAGAGTTTCTTCTAGAGAATTCATCGTTTTCTTTATTTTTCTAGCCTATTTCATTGGCTTTCAGTTCTATTTACAAATTCTAACAGTTTTTATGACTAAATTTGTATTACCGTATTTTCTCTAATAGTAGTGCACCCAGCCGAGCCGAGTTGGTGACGATTTTTAGGGTTTCCAAGCTTTTCCAGAAGCTCAACACTCAAATCCCTCATTAGATCTCATCATCAGCTACATCTTAAACCTTTTTAAATTGGTAAACCCTTATGAAGATCATGGTCATTTCCCTCCAAATTATGGAAAAGAGAGAATTTAAGCGGAAAATCACGGTATCCCGCCAAAAGAAACGTTTTATTGGTGTTAGTAATGGACGCTTACCTGGTTGTGATCACGTTCAGCACTTGTTCCAGCTTCTTGTTTGCATTAGAAAAGATTACCGCATTTTCTCTAATAGTAGTGCACCCCGGTGAGCCGAGTTGGCGAGTTGGCGACTATTTTACGGCTTCCAAAGTTTTTACAGAAGCTCAACACTGAAATCCCCCACAAGATCTCATCGTCAGCTACATTTTCCGACCTCACATCGATAGGTTCTGATAAGCGGTTCTCGAGATTTCGAGGAATTTAGGAATTTAGGCGACGCTCTGGGTGCACTACTATTAGAGAAAATACGGTATTCAAAACATACAAAACCAACAATCATCATGTCACATTCTATGATTTTTTTTTGGCTTTGGTTTAACCTGGAAATTTAAGTCTCAATCCAGCTTTGTACAGCAATAATTTTAAGACAACTTAGACAATTATCAATGACAAAGTACTATCTATTTGATCGATCAGTACTTGTTAGATAACAGCTATCTTCTTGTGTACTTTGTGCCCTTGGAAACAACCTTTCTGGCATACTCTTCTTCATTCTCACACAATAGAAGACGATTATCATAAGAAAAAACGCAAACCACTGCACCAGGAAAGGTGGGTTTACATTTTGATCCTATAGTAGAAACTATAGTAACGATAGCGGTTATAGTAGCAACATACCCTTTCCCTTTCCCTTTCCGATGAACTCAAAAGAATTGACTCTTACAGAAAGGGTTTGTTTCGATGCTCGAGCACAAAGTACACTAATAAACATGTTGATTGAGTTCAACAATTCCACAACGATGAGATCTTGTGGGGGATTTGAGTGTTGAGCTCCTGCAAAAGCTTGGAAACCATAAAATCGTCATCAACTCGGCTCGGCTGGATGCACTACTATTAGGGAAAAGCCGGTACAGGAAAAACATACTTTTAAATGGCGCACCGAACCCTTCAGGCGCACCGAATGAATTCTAGAGTCATGCATAAGGAGAAATCTTGGCCTAAGCCTTTCGTCCTCATTTTCTACAGATAAAATACCGTATTCTCTCTAATAGTAGAGGGTACTATTAGAGAGAATACGGTATTTTATCAGTAGGAAATGAGGAAGAAAGGCTTAGGCCAAGATTTCACAACTCACTTCCTTGATCTTTTCTTTTAAATCTTTCAACTTTGATTCCTGAGCTTTATTTTAAAATCAAAACCTTGTTTTTATTTTTTCTTTTCCATTAAAAGTTCTCCGTGTGTTCAGAAAGGAGATAATTCGATCATTGTCTAATCATTCATTTCTTTCTTTCTTTCTTTCTTTCTCATTTCTAAATTCTTTTCAAAAGTAAAGATTTGTTTTTTATCTCATCGAACACCCAGAGATTTTCGTTTCTCAAAGGATTCACCGAAAAAAACTCTCTCTTTTTGAGATCACACGTGATAAATAAAGCGGGTTTTTTGTTTTTTCTGATCAGATTCGAAAATCTCGAATTTTGATTGAGTACAACAATTTCACAGTTAAACTCATTGTTGTTGTTGTCATTGTTGTTGTCATTGTTGTTCTCAATCATTGTTTAACTCGAAAATCTCTTGAAAAACAAACTTCTTTACAAATAAACAATTAGATTTCTGAATGGATCAGCTATTTTTCTTTCTTTTCTTTATTTCAATGGTTGTATGTTGGCCGAGAATGACAAGAAATGTTGGAGCACCGAGAATTATCAAAGATGGCACACATGAGTGAGTTTTGAGATCGTTTTTGAAATACTGAACTTTGTGTAATCTCTATTGTACTGTAGAGACAGTACTATAGCAAGTACTTTATCTAAACTCTAATATTCTTGAGAGTCTAATAGTACTTGTACTTGTCGTTAGAGTGCTTGGAGTCTAATAGTACTCGTACTTATCGTTAGAGTACTTGTACTTGTGCTACATTACTTGAGAGTCTAACCGTACAGCGAGTACTGTAACGACGATAACTCCTATACAATACTACTTTAGCTACAAAACTATACGCTACGTTTAGACTCTCAAGTACTCTAACGACAAGTACGAGTACTATTAGACTCCCAAGTACTCTAACGACAAGTACGAGTACTATTAGACTCCCAAGTATTCTAACGACAAGTACGAGTACTATTAGACTCCCAAGAGTATTAGAGTTTAGATAAAGTACTTACTATAGTACAGTATCTACAGTACAACAGAGATTGTAAGAAAAATAAAGCAAAAGTTAAACCCTTGCAGTTCTTTTAAAGATTATTTTCAGATTGCATCTCTACCAATCATCAAAAATGGGTAAAGAGTTGAAATTCGAGGCGGTAGTCACTTATGGAATGACTTCTGATGAGATTATGTCGATTGAGCAAACGATTGTCAATCATTTGTCTGGTGATCAGTTGCAATCCGGAAGGGAAACCAATCAGATTGGAGATGTGAGTGAAATTCTGTTTATAAAATGTTAAACTCTTACTTGGCTTCAGCCCAGAAGCCGAACTCTTTCTCCAGTCAATAAACCACGCTACTTACTAAAGTCAAGAGTTAATCAATAAATTAATCAAATCAATAAAGGCTCTTCTTCTAAAGTTTGATCCGTGTTTTGGTGACTCTTTAGTCTGACTTAAACCTGACTTTAAAAAGCAAAAGTTTTACCGAAGCCCGAGCTCGAAGTAGGGCCTGCCGGTTTAGAGCCTAGTGCACTCACCACTTGGCCACGTTGACAGAACTGGAATGAACGCAAGATCGCTTTATACTCGCGCAGTCAGTTAAACAGCGTCAGACTTGTTTTTTTAAAACAAAAACTTTCAAATGGATTTAAATCGAAAATTTGAACCCACAAAGAAACGAATTTTAAACAAACGAATTCTAGATTTACGAAATTAGCTAAAAATTTTCTTTAAAATAGGCTAAATTCTACATTGGGAAACAAAAAACGATCCCTAGTCTTTTCAAAGTCTAGTTAAGTCTTTTCAAAGTCTAGTTAAGTCTCTTCAAAGTCAAGTTAAACCTCTTCAAAGCCTAGTTAAGTCTTTTAAAAGTCTAGTTAAGTCTCTTCAAAGTCAAGTTAAACCTCTTCAAAGCCTAGTTAAGTCTTTTAAAGCCTAGTTAAGTCTTTCAAAGTCTAGGTAAGTCTTTTCAAAGTCTAGTTAAGTCTTTTAAAAGCCTAGCTAAGTCTTTTCAAAGTCTAGTTAAGTCTTTTAAAATCTAGTTAAGTCTCTTCAAAGTCTAGTTAAACCTCTTCAAAGTCTAGTTAAGTCTTTTTAAAGTCTAGTTACCGTAAATACTGTAATAGTACCCCATCCCCATAATGACGGTGTGGAGTGTTGCGTAGTCTAGCTTTGAACGAGTTTTTCTCGACACTGGCTTATGCTAAAATGCTCGTTTAGATATCAAAAAATAGCCCTCTATTTCAGCTATTTTTTCATACCAAAAACACATTTTTTGAAAGTACGGGCGCTTTGAAAAAAATGAAATACTCAAAAAACTTTTGCGACTACGCGACTGTACGAGGGGGGGGGGGTACTATTACAGTATTTACGGTAAGTCTTTTCAAAGTCTAGTTAAGTTTTTTAAAGCCTAGTTAAGTCTTTCAAAGTCTAGGTAAGTCTTTTCAAAACTCCTTTCAAGGTTCTCAAATCCAATTACAAGAACAATTGTGAGATAGCTTTTTTTCTGTTTCTATCAGAGATCAAATTCGCTTGAAAATCTTCTCAAAAATTTCCCTTGGTTTACGTCAGCGCAAAAGATGTTCGCGACGAGAAAACGTAATTGATTTGATCAAATTTCATGGGATAGGTCAGATAGAAAAGATAGAAAAAAGAAAAGTATTGGGGAATGGGATGATTGGTTTTTAAAATTCAAGGTTTATTGGTTTAGAAAAAGGTTTATTTAATGAAAGCTGAGTAAGATTTGGATAAAATGATGCTCAACAGCTGATGCTGAACAGCTGAACAGCTGATGCTCAAGAGCTCAACAGCTGATGCTCAAGAGCTCAACAGCTGATGCTCAAGAGCTGAACAGTTGATGGAAATTCTTTGAGATTTCAATATAAAACTCGATTGTATGATGCTTAAATCTGAAATTTTGCTGCTAAAGTGCGCAAAAAAACAAAGAAACTGCAGTAGTTGAATAGTTTTTATTTGAAAATTGATGGCTTTGCTGTTTTCTGAGCATTGTTACACGGAGAATAGAAGAAAGCAGAAGAAAGCATTCGAAATTCTTCAAAAAAACACATTTCAAAATCGTTTTCAGGAGTTGGAGAAGAAATTCGGTGGTTATTGGATGGTTGGGATCTTCGAGGATCCATACGGAATGGCGTACACCGTTTCCCGGCGATCACCGATGTATGTCGTGTTTGAAGTGAACGAGAAAGCCGGGATCTTGTGTGCAAGTCAAGGATCTGGTGGGAATCGGGTTTGTTTTTGAAATTCTTAAAAAAACCAATGAACACTTAAAAGTCGTCAAGAGTTATAAGAGAAATTTCACTTTAAAATCTGATTTTTGTTCGAAATTCGGCTACTTGGCTTGATTTCTTTCAATTAGAGGGTGTGCAGTGTGTGAGAGAATACCGATGGGCATCAAATAGCCATCCAATTTCGAGTCCATGTTCCCATTCGCATTCGATCACTTCAGTGATATCCTCATTTCTCGGCTCGACGTATGTTCTCCAGAAAAAGCAACCACTTGCAAATGTCAGGCACCCGCAACCGGGCCCCGAACACTTCTTGTTCCTCGCTTCTTGGCATCGAGTCACTCCAGGTCGGCCGTTCATGTCCTTGAACTCGTCCAGCTCCGTTTCTGGCTCAACTTTCGAACATCGTGCCCCCGTGCACTCTCCCATTCCACCGCATCTTCTCGAGTAGATCGTTTTCAGCATGACGTGCCGAGTGTAGTCTCGTCGAGTAGGCGAACAATGATAGTACGGCGTCGCAAAAACTCTTAAAGTCGTCACGGGTCGGCCCTCGTGATCTCTGAGCACAATAATGGTGGCGGCGATGATTATTAGATATTTATTCCGAATCTAGCACAATACTAATCTAGCGAGAAAATATAAAAGAATAGAATCAATCGTTGGTTCAATGTTTCATAGCAATACAAAAAGCAATACGAAAGGGCCGAGAAAAGAATATGAAAGGAAAATACGGAAAGAGACTATAAAGTGGGCTCCGTCCCTTTTATCCGTCCCTTTATCATAAAAGCGATCTTTTAGAGGCGGGGCAAGAAAATCAGACATTCAAATCAAAACATTAAATAAGATTTCACAAAAAAGAGCCACTTTTCTGCACAGAGGGTGAATTTGACATCAAAAGTTTGAAATGTATGTAATTTTTTAAAATTTTAAGTTTATAATGCATTGATTAGCATATAAAGATCAAATTTAGATCAAATTTGCATAAAATTAAGCAAAAGCAAAAGCAAAAGCAAAATTAAGCATTCTAAAAGAATTGGTGCTTGTTTTCGAGTAAAAGAATAAAAATTATTTCCCAGCTCTCGCTCTTTTATCGAAACTTTTCAGCTGAATATCTTTTCTTTCGGCTCACATTCGTCTTTCGGCTTACTGTAGCTTTAAATATTACAATGTTTCTCAAGATATTCAGCTAAAGAGCTTTTATCTAGTCCAACTTATTCGGGAAACCCGCCAGAGGTCCCCGAATCCCTCAAAAGGGACTCCCCGACCCCGTCACCAATGTGGTCTTGTGGTGTAGTGGTTATCACGTCTCGTTTACACCGAGAAGGTCGCCGGTTCGAACCCGGCCAAGACCTATGTTTTTTGTTTTTTCGTAAAAATGTTTGAAAATTTGATTTGATCTTTAAATTTAGTTAATTTAATTTAGTTAATTAAGTTAATTAATTTAGCTCGATAAGTTCAAAATCACGAAAGACGGCTTCAATACACATCTTTTACAAAGGCCTAAAAATCATTAAAGAAGATTAATGGTTGTTGTTTTCTTTTCAATGATAATTTGTGATTTTGTTTGAATAAATATTTATGTTAAAGGAATTGATATAGAGATTTTTATTGTTTTTATTGTTTTTCTTTTTGTTTTCGAAGATATTTCATGGCGATTTGCATTGAGTTGAGTGAGAGGAGACGAGATGGAACTGAAAAGACGAGGATTGAGGTTGATTGACAAGATTGAAGCACAAGATTGAAGCACAAGATTGAAGCACAAGATTTAATAACAAAATTGAATGACAAGATTGAATCACAAGATTGAATGACAAGATTGTATAACAAATAAACTAAAGGTTAGTTTGAAAATTTACGGCTACAGCTGGTAAGCTAGTGTTCAAATGCACAGTTTTCATGCATAGTTTTCAAAAAGTTTCCTTACTTCGTTCTGCCGATGAATCTCCACCAATCGTCAGCTCTTGATTTGGATCAAGCACTTGAAAAGAGTTCCCAACATTGACGATTTCTCTAAAGTTGAATTGAATTTAAAAAGGAAATCAGTTTTTAAACCTGTCAGCATTGATCCAGTGAATAACAAAAAGAATCATTGATAATCGAAGCAACATTTTGAGCTGAATTTAACTTTAATCTACAATAAAGCAAGAAAGTAATGAAATTGAAAGCAAGGATTTTTGTAAACGAAAGCTTTTTGGTTATGGCTTTATAGTAAAGTTTAGCGATTTAATGCTGAAATTATTGATGAATTTTCTTAACTTGTTGGTGGAAAGATTTCGACTTGAAAAGAAAAGAAAGAAGGGAAGAAAGAAGGGAAGAAAGAAGGGAAGAAAGAAGGAAAGAAAGAAGGAAAGAAAGAAGGGAAGAAAGAAGGGAAGAAAGAAGGGAAGAAAGAAGGAAAGAAAGAAGGGAAGAAGAAAAGAAAGACGAAAAGAAAGAAGGGAAGAAAGAAGAGCAGAAAGAGTAGAAAGAAAAGAACAATCCTGAATCAAAAAAAAACAGACTGCTTCATTCCATTGCTTCAAAAGCTCAAAATCATCGACCTTTATATTGTCTCAAATCCAGTTTCAACTCGAGAGTTGGCTGAAATTATTGAGTAAGCCTTTTTCATTCATGATCATCTCACCGGAAACTGGTTGGCTGAATATTTTGGAGAGAAAAGGCTGTCTCTTTCCCCCAATCTACCCCATTATTCCACTCTCGTATGCAAATTGCCGAGTGACTGGTGAAAGTTGTGCCATCGAAAGCCAATGGTTTGCTGAGAATATAATAATAAAAGCTGCCAAAAAGCTTTTAAAGGGAAATATAGTGACGTGGAATATTCGTAGACGATATTCGTAAATCGATATTCGTCGATCGATATTCGTAGATCGATATTCGTAGATCGATATTCGTAGATCGATATTCGTAGATCGATATTTGTAGATCGATATTTGTAGATCGATATTCGTAGATCGATATTTGTAGATCGATATTCGTAGATCGATATTCGTAGATCGATATTTGTAGATCGATATCCGTTTGGTTCAGTATTAGAGCTAATAGTAAAGTGTTATAGACCAGGGCAGGCTAGAAACTAACTTAGAACAAGAAATGTTCTAACTTCTGAGTTAGAACATTTCTTCTGAACTTCTCAATTAGAACAGGTTTCACAATTTTGTCCAGACTGTAGGCCAGGCCCTGCTGAACCAGCAAGACCAGCAAGATTAGTTCTAAGGTGATTTTTCTAGACTAGGCAGGTTCAGAACAGAAATCGGGCTCTGGATCTGGATTTGATCTGGATTTGATCTGGCTTACAGATACTGGATGAACTTTCGCTTTAGCTGCTTTTACTTTAGCTGCTTTTACTTTAGCTGCTTTTACTTTAGCTTTTATTACAGACACCTTTCAATAAGATACAGTAACATCAGATAACAGGATCGTGTAGAAAAGAGGAATCTTTTCGAACTAGTACTGTAGTTATAGCCATTCTATCATTCCAGCCGTATTTTCTCCTTTTCTTTCGTTAATCTCGTTCTTTGATTTCTTGGTATGTCTATGGAAATGTTGACTTCAGAAATTGCACCTGTCAATCTAAATGTTAATTTAAATCAATCTTTTCAATATTTTCAATATTTTCGATTAGATTACAATTGTTGGATAACAATTTCCCGTCATGATTTACGATTTCCCAATCAATGGCACTTATTATAAAGTGTTTCTTCCAGTTTTTACAAACTTAAATTACGTCAAGGTATTGTAAAATTGTTACCAAAAAAATAAGGACTTAATTCTAAGAAAAGAAAATTCTTATTTCAGCTTCTTTTCTAGAAAATTGATGGAATATCTTTTATTTTAAGAAATGAAAAGATATTCAGCTTTAACAGCATACATATAAACATTGTAATTGTATTCTTTAATCAAATAAAGTACCTTAGTACTTTTGAGTAGAGTACCCTCAAGCCAATTTCAATACAATACTTTAGCTTGACCTAGTTGACTCAAAGAACAGCTCTGACAATGGCAAGCTACTTCATAGTATTGTTATGCTGAAGCTAGACTAGCAAATAGGCACCTAGCTGACTCAAAGAACAACTCTGACAATGACAAGCTACTTCATAGTATTGTTAAGCTAGACTAGCAAATAGCTAAAACATTCAGAAAGTGAAATCCATTCCAGCAAAGTCACTTTCTTTCCACAATCTGGAAGCTGGCAACAATCGTGGAATTGTTGAACATTCTGCTCTTTATTCCCCTTCAAATCCCAATCTTCCGTCTCCTCTATAAAACAGGAATTTTCCATCGAAATTTCGTCAACATCATCCTATTTTGTCAATTTTTTTTCTTCACTAGCAATTTGGGGCGAATTTATTTGATGGCTTTTGAAGCAGAAGCGATTTTAGAGAAAGGTGACGGTCAAAGGGTCAAAAGGTCAAAGAAAGAACTGAAAGATTTCTTTTTTAGATCTTCTCATAATCACTTATCCATTAGTAACGTTGGCTTCATTTTTGCGATTAATGGAGATCACAATTGGCGGATTACTTTTACCATTGATTTGTTTAGACAGGTTTTATTCATAATTTAATATTTCTATTTTCAAAAAACCCTCATCAAACAGAATTAAGAAGTAGATTTGTATTGGATTTTGGATAAACATAAATCTACATTGAAATTATTCATTTCAGAATATTCGCCACATATTTCGTTGCCGATTATGAAAAGAATCGAAAAACAAAAACATTTCTAGCAATTCTTTTATTTTGCGGTATTCAAGGGGCATTTATTGTGCTAGCGGGAATGTTTTGTAAGTAAAAAATGGAAAATTTTAAATAGAAAAGCTTAGTAATTATCATTTATCCAACTGAATGCACAATCATCTCGGTCACCATCGTTAGTGCAGTCGAAATTGGGACTTTCGTTGTAAGTTTCACTTTTTGGATAAAAAAGAACCGTGGTCTTACCTCTAGCTAAAGAAGAGTACTATAGAAGAAGCTAGAGAAGCTAGAGAAGCTAGAGAAGCTAAAGGAGAAGCTAAAGGAGAAGCTAAAGAAGAAGCTAAAGAAGAAGCTAAAGAAGCTAAAGAAGCCAAAGAAGCTAAAGAAGAAGCTAAAGAGGATAAAGAAGCTAAAGAGGATAAAGAAGCTAAAGAAGAAGCTAAAGAAGCTAAAGAAGATCTTTATCTTTTCCTAAAACGTGTAACATTCAAAACTAAGGCTAGTTTTTGAATGCTACACCGTTTAGGAAAAGGTTTTTCTTATTCAGCTTATTTTCTCCTTTCACTCTTTATCCCTTTCTTTCTTGCCCTGGTCACAAGCGTCTGTGGATCAGTGGGTAGGGTTTCGGCCTCTCAGACGGGGATGGGCGAGGGCCCGGGGGTTCGACTCCCTTCTGTGCCCCCGTCTTTACTTCTTCTTTGCCTCCTTTTGTTGAACTATTCGCTAATTTTAATGAAAGAAAAGCACTGATAAAGCTATGGAAATCTTGAAGTCTTGAAGTCTTGAAATCTTGAAAACCCTCAATGAAATTCCAGCTCTACTTCAAAATCGTTTCGCTGAATCATCGAGCTCTGGACTGGTTGGAGTCAATAAAGAGTGGGGGTGAAGAACTGTCTCCTCCTTTAGGCCTCACTCACTACAATTTAAGTGTCCGGTATCAAGTGAGGGAAAACTTGAGAGTCTTAAAAGTAAGCAATATTTCTTTTTTCACTTTCATCATTGATCGCATAAGCCGGCGACTTTTCAGCTTTTAAAATGGCTAGTGATTGGTACGTTTTTCGCTGGACTTTTTGGAGTAACTTTGGGTTTTTTCGCGTTGAGCAGCGACAAAACGACGAATTCTTTCGCGCAATTCATCGGCATTTCGTATAATTTATTTTTAACATTGTAAGTTCAATTTAAATAATCGTTTAAATGTTAATGTTTTCTTTCGTTAAAGAGCTGCAAACGGTAGCAGTCTTTTGGTGGTGATCATCGTGAAAGAGTGGAGGGATTCCGTGTTTCGCGTTTGGTTCAAAATCATTGGTACGTGAAGTGGTGTGGGGGGAAATTAAAGCTTAGATAATAAAGTACTCAGTGAATTCATTTAGGTTTTTGATTTTTAAGTCTCTCTATGCTTTACTTATATGATAAAATGATTGAAAAAAGATGACGAATCGGCTTTCTTTTTTGCCATTTTTCAATCATCTTTTTCTGAGCCCTGGTTAATGTTAAAAGTATTTGTTATAGCTTAAAAAAACACCCATTTTCTCTTCTTTAATTTGATACCTAAACACGGAAAAACAAACGTACTGGTGTCAAGATATGAGCGTTTGTTTGAGAGTGAACTAGGCGAACAACTCTGGATGGCACCAGGGTATCTAGACGAGCTGGTATTAGACGTAACTAGGCTATTTGTTTTAAAATTGCCAAAACTAGGCAATTCCTGAAAAGCTTTAACTCTAGTCTAACGGGCCTAATTGGTCTAATACTTGGCAATGCAAAGTAGGGTTTTATTGGCTTAGGCTTAGGCTTAGGCTCAGGCTTAGGCTCAGGCTCAGTCTTAGGCTTAGGCTAGGCTTAGGCTCAGGCTCAGTCTTAGGCTAGGCTCAGGCTCAGGCTTAGGCTTGATGACTTAAGCTTAGGCTCACGCTTAGGCATAGGCTCAGGCTCAGGCTTAGGCTCAGGCTTAGGCTCAGGCTCAGGCTCGGGCTTAGGCTTAGGCTCAGGCTTAGGCTCAGACTCTGGCTCAGGCTCAGGCTAGGCTTATGCTTAGATTTTATGGCTTAGACTTAGATCTAAGTACACATTTCCTTTTCCGGTTATCGTCGTCGCTCGATTTTCCCAGTGATTGAAGACATTTCTCTGAAACCTCAACTCGAGACTCAAGCTTATTTCAATTACTATGCAAACGAGTGGTAAGGAGATGGATAATCTTAACAATATTCTTGTTGACATAAACAATATTAACAAGAACAATATGGCAATAACAATATAACAATAACAATATAACAATAGCAATATTCTTGTTCAAAAGCCAATCTATAAAAAGGTTGAAAAAGCACCTGGTTTAATGAATCTTTGTTTCTAAATCTAAGAGTTATTACGTTTTAATCTTCAATTTCTTTTTATGATTTTGTTTTTCATGAGCAGATTTGGTAGATTTTCATGTCAATTTTCTCGGATTTTAGTTTTATAGAGGTTCAAGTGCAATCATTTGATTCAAGTGCAAGAATTTGAGCTTACTGTAGCTCTATAGGGCACTTAAATAACCCAAAAAGTTAATTTAGGTAGATGCTTATTTATCGAACACTTGTTCTTTATCGAATGCATTTTCATCTTCATTTCTGTACGATTTTCAATCCCGATCGCAAATTTGATTAATGATTTACGTGAGATTTGTCGGGATGGCGTTTGGGGTGATTTTTGGGTGAATTGACGAGCGATCTGAGTACTAAATCGTACTTTTGTACTTTTGCCTCAATTGTTCGAGTTTTATATAATCTTTTGTTAGGTATTCAATCAAATAGAGAGCTTTATTTTATGTTTTTTTGATAATCTTTGATTTTAGCTATTGAAAGAAAAAGTTTTTCAGGATTTTTTAGAGATAAAATCATTGAAATCGGCAAATTCTACAAAGCTTCTAACATCGAAATACAGTACTTTAGATTGTTTAGATTGTAAATAACACAATAAAACTCTTTTTTTACAGTTTTGCTGGTTGTTATTGAATTATTTTGTTTCTTTTGCTTGAGTGGAGGCAAGGAATTTCGACAAAGAATCGGTCAGATTTCTTTCAAAGATTGTTTTTTAGTTAAAAACCATAAAAATCACTTAATTTTAGTCTATTTTTAGGTAAAAAATTGGGTAGCTATTGATAAATATTGTAGATTTTAGAATTTCTAGGTTATAGCTGGAACTCGAGATGAAATCAACGCCAATTCTGGCCTGGAAGGCTGAATATTATGCAAATGAATGATAGCTTTAAATAAAGATAATAAAGATAATAAAGATAAGAAAGATAAAAAAAGATAATAAAGATAAGAAAGATAAGAAAGATAATAAAGACAACAAAGATTATAACAAGATTAAATCTTCATTTACATTTATTATCAAGCAAATATATAAGCATATAAGCTCATTTTCCATGCTAAAGTCAAAGCTGTCGATCAGGGTTTCTTTTGCGGTGTTCACGGTTCTAAAAAGGTTTAAATCTTGAAAAAGTTCTTCAGATAACTTTTCAGATAACGAAGATAACGAATTTTGATATCTAAACCTTATAGATATCTTTTAAAACTAAATATTAGCTTATATACAATGTTTTCACTCACTTCTTTCTTCGGGCTCTCTAGCTGGCGCTCTGGTCGGGGGAAACAACGTCTAAAAAGGAGAAATCATTAAAAGAATCTTTTGCATATAGAAAATCTGAATAACTAAAGATCTATAGATCTTTAAACATCTATAGAGCTTTAAATATTTATAGATCTTTAAATATCAATATCTATCCTCAATGATAGCTATATCTATTCTCAATGATAGCTATATCTATTCTAAATGATGTCTACATCTATCTAGATCTCTCTACATCTATCTACATCTATCTACATCTATCTAGATCTCTCTACATCTATCTAGATCTATCTACATCTATCTACATCTATCTACATCTATCTAGATCTATCTACATCTATCTACATCTATCTACACCTATCTACATCTATCTACATCTATCTACATCTATCTAGATCTATCTACATCTATCTACATCTATCTAGATCTATCTAGATCTATCTACATCTATCTACATCTATCTAGATCTATCTACATCTATCTACATCTATCTATTAGGTTGATGCATAAGTCTTTTCGTTTTTTTCGTGCTTCTGTTAAAAAGTAACAAATTCACCAATTAACCTATGCTTTTCTCTAAATAAAAAGTGTTTTTTTGTTCAATTTGCATCTTTTTAAATGAATTTCGGTTCACTTTCAAGCAAATTCGAGAGTGAAAAACGCCTTTTTCGTAAAAATCTATAAAAAACTCTACGGAAAAATTGGCTGAATGAATTTCTCTGAAATTTTGGCGAAATATCAAACTTTTTTTTTCTCTATCTTTTATCTATTGACACGAAGATAGGTTTTCTTTAGCTAAGGTGTCTAAACCGCTCAGGCTTAGGCTCAGGCTCAGGCTCAGGCTTAGGCTGAGGCTTAGCCTGAGCCTGAGCCTGAGCCTGAGCCTAAACCGCATCATCGAGTTAGCCCTTTTTGACTACCCGACTTCATACTCTCAAGAAAATCCAGGCATTAAATATTTTTAAACCCGTTTTAATGTTATTTTGCAGAAAAATAATTGCTTTTTCTAATGAAATCAACCGTAGTTTAATTGCTGCATTTGTTACTTTTTAACATAAGTACGAAAAAAACGAAAAGACTTATGCATCAACCTAATACATCTATCTACATCTATCTACATCTATCTACATCATAAATTTATATAGATTCACCGTCTTCCATTTATCCCTTCAATTTGACACCTTCGACGAAACGTCCTTCGGCGTTTAATGACCATATCGCTAAAGGATAATTTTAAGTTTAAATGATTTAATTGATATTTTAAGGCTTAAACTTATAGGTAAATAGTTCTCCATAACGTTCTTTATAAAGTTCTTCATAACGTTCTTTATAAAGTTCTTCATAACGGTCGAAAGCTAAAGAACAATTGAGCTACCTAGTCTTTTCATCCTCATCTTCTTGTCCTTTTCTGTATTTCCATTGCTTCAAATCTTTCAACTTTTCATCAAATTCTTGATTATTTTCAAGTTGAATGTCTGAGATTGGCTGAGATAAAGCTCTTCTTCCTCGTGCTTTCACCGATTTCATTGTTTGATCATCTGGATCTCGTAAAAAACATTTCCTAAAACAAGCACTGGATTAGTTAACCTAGATATTCATATCTAGATAATCTAGATATTCAAAGCATTAGATTAACAGGTTAGCTTTTAGTCTAATGAAAGAATAAAAGAATAAAAGAATAAAAGAATGAAAGAATGAAAGATTTCCTATACTTGGTTGCATCAATTTAGACTAGAGTAAACTAGAGTAAGTAAACTCAGAGAGTAGTAAACTCCAAAGTAAACTAGAGTAAGTAAACTAAAGAGTAGTAAACTCTAGAGTAAACTAGAGTAAGTAAACTCAGAGAGTAGTAAACTCTAAAGTAAACTAGAGTAAGTAAACTAAAGAGTAGTAAACTCTAGAGTAAACTAAAGAGTAGTAAACTCTAGAGTAAACTAGAGTAAGTCTGGATCTCGTAAAAAACATTTCCTAAAGCAAGCACTGGATTAGTTAACCTAGATATTCAAAGCATTAGATTAACAGGTTAGATTTTAGTCTAATGAAAGAATAAAAGGAGAAAAGAATAAAAGATATTCTATAGAATAAAAGAATGAAAGATATTCTATAGAATAAAAGAATGAAAGATTTCCTATACCATAGAAGAATGAGAGATTTCCTATACAATAGAAGAATAAAAGATATTCTATACAAGAGAAGAATGGAAGCTTTCCTATACAATAGAAGAATGAAAGATTTCCTATACAATAGAAGAATAAAAGATATTCTATACAAGAGAAGAATGGAAGCTTTCCTATACAATAGAAGAATGAGAGATTTCCTATACAATAGAAGAATAAAAAGATATTCTATACAAGAGAAGAATGGAAGCTTTCCTATACAATAGAAGAATGAAAGATTTCCTATACAATAGAAGAATAAAAGATATTCTATACAAAGAGAAGAATGGAAGCTTTCCTATACAATAGAAGAATGAGAGATTTCCTATACAATAGAAGAATAAAAGATATTCTATACAAGAGAAGAATGGAAGCTTTCCTATACAATAGAAGAATGAAAGATTTCCTATACAATAGAAGAATAAAAGATATTCTATACAAGAGAAGAATGGAAGCTTTCCTATACAATAGAAGAATGAGAGATTTCCTATACAATAGAAGAATAAAAGATATTCTATACAAGAGAAGAATGGAAGCTTTCCTATACAATAGAAGAATGAAAGATTTCCTATACTTGGTTGCATCAATTTTGTCTAGAGAAAACTATACTTCTTTGTCTTTACACCGTCTTATTTATCTTTACAAGTTTAAAGCTCGACTAGTTTAAGAAATCAATTCTATTAAATGAACTAAAGCCACCTCTTTCCCTTCTTGTCAATCTTGCAATGATTCTTGATGCCGAATGGACGACGGTGAGCTGGGAAACGGCGTGATTCTTGGCTAAATTTAAGACATAGAATCTACTGCTTTTGCCTAAACATTGCTCTTTTATATAGTAAATTACCTATCAGAAAAGAGCATTCTCCTAAGTCGCCCGCTTCTTTCCTGTCCTTGTCCATCCGAGTCTCCATATCGACCATCTCCCAATTCAACGAGAGAATCGTCTCCTTCTTGACCATCCGTTGAATCTGAATTCGTCAAATATTGAAAGATTTCAATGGAAAGTCGATTAGAGATTTCATTTGCTCTTTTCAAAAGCTTGCTCCCTACCTTTCACCTCAAACGCTCCCCCAGGTCCATCGTTCACTTCATCAGATGTGTCTCTTCGTGATCGACTCAATGGCTTTCCCTTCTCATCATTTCCATCCACAATTAGATCAAATTCCTTGTCATTCACTTCATCAGATGTGTCTCTTCGTGATCGACTCAATGGCTTCCCCTTCTCTTCATTCTCATCCCACTCCTCTTCATTCTCATCAAATTCCTTGTCATTCTCTTCAACTTCAATACTTTTCCCTTCTTCTTGTGACTCACTTTGCTGGGAGTTGAACACCGATTCGATGTTTTTCAATGGAAGCACCTAGAAGTGAGGTTAGATTTGTGGAAGATCCAATCCCTTGACTTGACTTTAGCTCTAGATCCAATACCCTGACTTGACTTTAGCTCTAGATCCAATACCCTGACTTGACTTTAGCTCTAGATCCAATACCCTGACTTGACTTTAGCTCTAGATCCAATACCCTGACTTGACTTTAGCTCTAGATCCAATTCCTTGACTCCAAGTAAATCCTTTTACTTTGTCTTTAGCTACAGTACTTGCTCTGGGCTGAGTATTGCATTTATACGGATGTCGGTAAGCTAAAGAGCTCCAAGGTACGGTAATCTAAAGCCAAACCACTAACTTACCCCTAGTCCTATGAAGAAAAGCCGGTCGATAATCTGGATCGTCTAAAAATTCGCTCACTGAGAAAGAGATTAATACAGCAAAAAGCAATAGCTTCATTGTCACAAATTGTGAAAACTGTTGCTGTTCTCAGATCCCCCGATTGCTTATAAAGAACGGAGAACGGAAGTGCTGATAAGGCCAATTTTAGAACTGGGATCATTTTTTGATAGTTTAAGCCATAAAATTGTTTGTCTCTTTGAGAAGTGAGTCAAGAGTGGCAAAGATCGAAATGAAACATCGATTCTGAAACTATTTTTAGGTTTGATTTGATGAAAAACAATTTCTGAAATCTAAAATTCTCATGATCAATCCTCAGAGTTGAAAATCGAAAAGCCTAAAGAGTCATTGTCTATTAGAATTGCGCTATTTTTTTTCAATCGCCTTCTGGACCGCAATACAGACCATCTCCCGAGCCATCAGTAGCTGTGATAGCCATCAATAGTTGTGATAGCCATCAGTAGCTGTTGCACGACTCTTGAACGATGAATGACCATGTTTTTCGGGAGCATTTCAAATCGATTCAAACCGATATTATTTAAAATCAAGCAACGCCGGGTTTTTCTAGCTGTTTTGGGGCCAAGAAGTCCTGCCAACGTGGAGCCAATTGGTCTACAGCTCACACGATCTGACTCACGATCAACCGCCCGTACTGCCACTCAACTTTAAGCTCTTAATTTTTAATCCTGGTTGATGTTTCGATTCTTTAAAGGTTATAGATTTGGTTTGTTTCTTAATCAGATCTACTTTTGCTTTTGTTGAACAATAGAAACAATAAAATAAATAGAAACAATAAAATAAAATCATTACAAAATAAATTTGTAGAAAGGGGAGTTTTATTTGAAAATTCGTTTCTGATTTCCTTTAGTTTCTTTTAGCTTTGGTGGCTTTGAGTGAATGGTGTCGAGCTTGGAGTTTTTCTCTGAAATTTGGTGATTACGAGGAAGTAAATGCCAAAAAAACTGTTACTAATCTCTTCGACTACAACAAAAAAACTCTCTTCCCGTTTGTTTGCCAAAATCATTTAGACTTAAAAGGCTTCTGATGGTAGCTTTTTCATTTTTCACTCAGAATAACTTTTGCCTGATCATCATCTGTTCTCGCATGGATTCGGGAAGAGCTGAGTCGATTTCCTTGTCGGTGTGTCTAGAAATTCTAGAGATCTTTCTAGAGATCTTTCTAGAGATCTTTCTAGAGATTTCTAGAGATTTCTAGAGATCTTTCTAGAGATCTTTCTAGAGATCTTTCTAGAGATCTTTCTAGAGATTTCTAGAGATTTCTAGAGATCTTTCTAGAGATCTTTCTAGAGATTTCTAGAGATTTCTAGAGATCTTTCTAGAGATCTTTCTAGAGATCTTTCTAGAGATCTTTCTAGAGATCTTTCTAGAGATCTTTCTAGAGATTTCTAGAGATTTCTAGAGATTTCTAGAGATCTTTCTAGAGATCTTTCTAGAGATTTCTAGAGATTTCTAGAGATCTTTCTAGAGATCTTTCTAGAGATCTTTCTAGAGATCTTTCTAGAGATCTTTCTAGAGATCTTTCTAGAGATCTTTCTAGAGATCTTTCTAGAGATCTTTCTAGAGATCTTTCTAGAGATCTTTCTAGAGATCTTTCTAGAGATCTTTCTAGAGATCTTTCTAGAGATCTTTCTAGAGATCTTTCTAGAGATCTTTCTAGAGATTTCTAGAGATTTCTAGAGATCTTTCTAGAGATCTTTCTAGAGATCTTTCTAGAGATCTTTCTAGAGATCTTTCTAGAGATCTTTCTAGAGATCTTTCTAGAGATCTTTCTAGAGATCTTTCTAGAGATCTTTCTAGAGATCTTTCTAGAGATCTTTCTAGAGATCTTTCTAGAGATTTCTAGAGATTTCTAGAGATCTTTCTAGAGATCTTTCTAGAGATCTTTCTAGAGATCTTTCTAGAGATCTTTCTAGAGATCTTTCTAGAGATCTTTCTAGAGATCTTTCTAGAGATCTTTCTAGAGATCTTTCTAGAGATCTTTCTAGAGATCTTTCTAGAGATCTTTCTAGAGATCTTTCTAGAGATCTTTCTAGAGATCTTTCTAGAGATCTTTCTAGAGATCTTTCTAGAGATCTTTCTAGAGATTTCTAGAGATTTCTAGAGATCTTTCTAGAGATCTTTCTAGAGATTTCTAGAGATTTCCTAGAGATCTTTCTAGAGATCTTTCTAGAGATCTTTCTAGAGATCTTTCTAGAGATCTTTCTAGAGATCTTTCTAGAGATTTCTAGAGATTTCTAGAGATTTCTAGAGATCTTTCTAGAGATCTTTCTAGAGATTTCTAGAGATTTCTAGAGATCTTTCTAGAGATCTTTCTAGAGATCTTTCTAGAGATCTTTCTAGAGATCTTTCTAGAGATCTTTCTAGAGATCTTTCTAGAGATCTTTCTAGAGATCTTTCTAGAGATCTTTCTAGAGATCTTTCTAGAGATCTTTCTAGAGATCTTTCTAGAGATCTTTCTAGAGATCTTTCTAGAGATCTTTCTAGAGATTTCTAGAGATTTCTAGAGATCTTTCTAGAGATCTTTCTAGAGATCTTTCTAGAGATCTTTCTAGAGATCTTTCTAGAGATCTTTCTAGAGATCTTTCTAGAGATCTTTCTAGAGATCTTTCTAGAGATCTTTCTAGAGATCTTTCTAGAGATCTTTCTAGAGATTTCTAGAGATTTCTAGAGATCTTTCTAGAGATCTTTCTAGAGATCTTTCTAGAGATCTTTCTAGAGATCTTTCTAGAGATCTTTCTAGAGATCTTTCTAGAGATCTTTCTAGAGATCTTTCTAGAGATCTTTCTAGAGATCTTTCTAGAGATCTTTCTAGAGATCTTTCTAGAGATCTTTCTAGAGATCTTTCTGAGAGATCTTTCTAGAGATCTTTCTAGAGATCTTTCTAGAGATCTTTCTAGAGATCTTTCTAGAGATCTTTCTAGAGATCTTTCTAGAGATCTTTCTAGAGATCTTTCTAGAGATCTTTCTAGAGATCTTTCTAGAGATCTTTCTAGAGATCTTTCTAGAGATTTCTAGAGATTTCTAGAGATCTTTCTAGAGATCTTTTCATAACTAGTTTCTATATTTATTTTATCAATACCAAAGTCTAATTGCAATCTAATTGATTCTAATTGCTAAAAAGAGTAAACCGACCTTGCTCTGAATGTTTTCGCTCTTTCATATGCGGAGACTTTTCTTTTTAACGGCAACTGTTTAATGTTTAACTGTTTATTCCTTTCTTCTCCTTTCACTTCTCGATTTTCACCTGAATTCTCTAATTATATGCAAATGTTGAACAATTTGATGTAAGAACTCAAATTGTCCAACAAAAATAACGGTAAATAACTTTATTAGGTTTTTTTGTGAACTAATGCATTACTCTTGAAGTAGAATGGGATAATAATAGCCACGTAATGAGAGTGGGATAATGGTAGCCACGTAACTCAAGTTCAGCACTTAAATTCGAGTTTTTTAAAAATAAAAATTAATATCCAGATATAGATTCATATAGAATTTGCATATTTCATATAATTTTATGAATTTTATAGTAAAGTAAACTTATCATCATCTTTTTGATTTGTAAGCTTACCATTTTTTTGATTTGTAAGCTTACCATCTTTTTGATTTGTAAACTTACCATCATCTTTTTGAGCCACACACAAAACAATGAGTAGAATGAGAGAGAAAGCGATCGTTTTCATTGTTGAAAAGGTTTCGAGAATGATTTAAAACCATGCCGTTAAACATCAATTCATGAATTTTATGTTAAACGTTATCTTTTTTTCTTTTAATTCTTTTCAAATCGTTGTTTCACTAGGGATTCGTTTTTTAAACAGAGAAAATCTTTAAGACGGGCTTGTTTTTGTTTTGATAAGCGGAAAATCGTGAAAAATTGATGCAGATTTAGTTGTGAGTTGTTTAAAAGGAAAGAAAACGAAAAGAAGAGCTTTTTTTGATTGGATAATTGAACAGGGGTTGTCGGAGAGCGACTACAATATGATCGGAGATTAGACCCATTCATTTGTTGCTCTGATTGTCAATAGGTGTCAAAAAAAACAAGCTTTGCCCACTTCAATGGCTAGATTTTTAGGGGTTTTTAGACCAAAAGATATTAGAAAATATTGTAGATGAAAACTGTTGTTGACAAGCTTTTTGTTCACCAACTAGACCCTGTTCAACTCTGTGCAAGATTTCACAACAAGGACAAAGTTTCTCAGTCTCAGAAATCTTGTTGTCAATTGTCAGTTATCTCTAAATTTCAACCTTTCTGCACTTTGATTTCAAAATTAGTGTAGTGTTGTTTTAAAGAGCTTTTCTTTAAAAGAATATCTTTTTTGGGCCGGCTTTCTCTGTTCTCTCTCGGCTTGAGTCTCTCCATTCCCCCACTTCCGTGTTGACAGGTTTTCTTTTGAAAGGATGACTCATCCCGCATTTCCTCGTTTGTACGTTTCACCGATTTTTATCTTTGCGTTTTCCAAAAATCTATAAATTGTTAAAGTTTCTCTTGATTTGCTCAATGTTCTTTATGCTTCTGGTGTTTGAAAACGCACCTTTTCTGGTGCACTTTTTCTTGGAACGATTTGGACTAAAATAAGAAATGAGGCTATTTTGTGGTTGCTTATCTGCTCTTAAAGTCTAAATATTATGGATTTCACCAACAAAACACTGTCTACTCTTGCCTGGTCCGGCTCTTAACCATACCCTGCTTTTCGGCATGCCCACCCGTCTCCAAAGAATGAATTTGCTCTTGTTGATCACCTTTCTAAACATTCGTGACAACAGATTGAGATTAGCCTTGATTTGAGAATTCGGAAATGGACGGAAGAGTTAGCCCGCGAGAGAGGGAAGGGGGTTATCTAAAAGCCCTGCGCCAGACGACTAGCGATTACGCGACTGCACAAAGAACACTTCCGGTTTTTTGCAAAAGGATTTAGAGCCGGTCAGATTAGTTTGGCGAAGACAGAGGGAAGGGGGTTATCTAAAAGCCCTGCGCCAGACGACTAGCGATTACGTCAGAAAATGTCAGATATTGACAATCTGTCATTTTCTCATTTTGGCTATAAATAATTGGGGTATAGCCGATAAGAATCGCGTTATCGCGGGAAAGAAAAGAGAGAAGAAATGCCAGAAAGGTTTGTGTTTGTGGTGTGCCAGAAAGGTTTGTTTTTGTGCAGTCGAAAGTAATCTCTAACCGTTTTTCTATCATTTTTATCACATCTACATCTTTTCTCTTGTCTCTTTTCCTAAATCGTTGCTAAACATTAATCTAAAGGATCTAATCTAAACTTTCTCAATGTTTTTCTAGTTCTCTTCATTTCTGTTTTCATTTCTGATCACATTTCTTTTGTAAAGATGTGCTCAAATCGAGTGCGAGGTGTTTTAATGGGTCATTTGATCGGTGATGCTCTGGGAGCACGATATGAGTTCAAAACAGCAAAAGAAGTTAAAGAAGTGGGTTATTTTAAAGCCTTTTTGAATAAAGCTGAAGAAAAATATTTAGATGATGGCTGAAGACATGAAGAATGATGAGCTTTTGCCAATGCTAGGCGGGGGAAGATTTAAATGGAGGGCGGGTGAGGTGAGGATTAAAATCTCTGTGTCTAGGTACGATTGTAAAGATGTTTAAGATTAGATTAAGCTGCATAGAAGCTTTTTTTTTAAGATAACAGACGATAGTGAGATGGGTTTATCATTAGCTGGTTGTCTTTTGGCTAAAAATGGTTACGATCAAGCGACAGTTGCAACGTCATACGTGCGGTGAGTTTAATGTTTAGAAATAAAAATCAAATCATTAGCTATTTATAAATAAAAATCAAATAAATAATAAGTTTAGAAGGAAAAGTAAAAGTACCGTAAATACTGTAATAGTACCCCACCCCCATAATGACGGTGCGGAGCGTTGCGTAGTCTAGCTTTGAACGAGTTTTTCTCGACACTGGTTTATGCTACAATGCTCGTTTAGATATCAAAAAGTAGCTGAAATTCAGGGCTATTTTTTCTCGACACTGGTTTATGCTACAATGCGCGCTTTAGAATCAAAAAATAGCCCTGAATTTCAGCTATTTTTTGATGCCAAAGACGCACTTTTTGAAAGTACGGGTGCTTTGCAAAAAATGAAATACTCAAAAAACTTTTGCGACTACGCGACTGTACGAGGGGGGTGGGGCACATAGGTTACAAAAATAATCGTCTTTAAATCAAAAATCCGAACACTACAAATTTTAAGTTAGGCCCAAAAATGAACGGAAAAAATAAAATGATCCGAAAAGCATCATCCAAAATTTCAGAATTAAAGGCGGCGACTTTGATGTTAGTGAAATTTCATATTTCATCGAACCATAAAGTGTTATATGTCATTCAATAGCTCTTTTCACGCTCTTTCAAAATGCTGAATTGAGTTTTTGTGGAATTCTATTTTTCCATGAAATTTTTTCCATATTCGGCGCCGAAAAGTCAAAATAATTTTTTTCACGAAAATCTAGCTGATAAACTAGGCTCAAAAAGCAAATTTCTGAATTCTACGCAAAAAGTTGGTCGGGAATTGTTTTTTAATTTTGTTTTTTGGTCAATGGAAACGCGAGCTCCGAAACCTAGGTTTTTTAGAAGTGCGCGGTTATATGGCCCGCGCGCACCTTTGATGTTGGTAAAATTTTTCTTTTGTGTCAAATCATCAAGTGTTATATATCATTCGAAAGCATTTTTATGTGTTTAAACATGGCGGAAAGAATTTCCCGAAAAATTTGACTTTTTATTAGTTTTGTCCGATTTTATAATCTGGAATGCAGTTTTTTCTGATTCTGCGGTACTTGCAGATCTGGTATAGTCTAGAAAAAATTTATTCTAAAAAAAGTGAAAAACGCAATTTTTTTTGAAGAAAGAGTTACAATTCCAGGAAAGTTGAAATTGAGAGTATTTGTCAATTTCGGGTAGGCAACCCAGGTGCACAGCCAAATACAGCCTTGACAATTACTCGATAAATTACTATGCCAAAGGCATGACAGATGATAAAGTTATAAATGTCAATCGCAGGAGAAAATCATTTAGTTACAGACAATTTTGCTTCCCGATTATTTATTTTTTGATTATTAGCTTATTATTATTATTTTTCTTATTACATACATTCGTATTTCCTACACTTTCAAAACAAAAGTTATAATTTGCAGATGGGACGAACATCAGAAGCCAAAAAGTCTAGAAGTGGCAACTTGGAACATGGACGCCAAACCAATCAAAACAACATGCACGGATTACGAAGTGGGAAAGTTCATGCAAATCCTGTGGAATCAAAAGAAGAAAGCTCATCACGATCCGCAGACAATCAACAAAAAGAAAACGAATTCGACAGGAAAGCACATTTGAAAGGAGCACTGGAGGCAAGGATTCTGAAAGATAATGAAAAGAAAAGAGCCGAGCAAAATCGTCAAAACGCCGTCTATGTGGCAAAAGCAAAGCAAAACGATGATGATTCTGTTGCTTCAACCTCACATATTCAAACCAAATCACCGACTCCTCCAACTCCAGAAGCTCTACTCGGTATGAAAAAAGTGCCAATCTATCAAATAAAGGACTATTATCTGTAAACCATTTTCTTCAATCAAACCAAGGAGTAACCATTGGCTCACAACGAACTATCGAAAAGGCCAAGAAGACTCTGGACCAGTTTGTCAGATATGAAATAGTTCTCAATGAAGGAGTAAGATTGGAAGCTGTGTTGAAAGCTGTTGAAGAGCGGCGAAGAAGATTGGATCTGCTCGATGAGCGAGGAAAACGGCTGATTTTTTCCCTCGATAAAGGACACGGTCGAGTTATTTCAACTATTTCATTCCTGAGCTGCGAAAAACCGTGCTCGTCTCGAAATTGTCTTCCATTACAAGCTTGGGAAGGTTCAGATTCTTACGACTCGCTGAAGGAAAAGGGAATTTGCAAAGACTTTGAGACTTTGGTGCAAGCCGGATATATGGTTTTTCTCGGTGGAGATCTATCTTTCTTGAACACCAATTTTGGTCTTTCCTGTGCGATGATGTTTGGATGTTTATGGTGCAACAAGAGGTTTGACAAAAAACCATCCGCTGATAAGGATTCAATTGATTTTCAACAATATGCTGATCGGAGTGACCCTTCGGTGGAAGCGATGATTTCAAAAGTAAAAGGTCTGCAGGCAAAAAAAGAAAATCTATTAAATGTTTCTCGAAGTTTGGTAATTCCCCCGAAGAGTGATGGGATTATCTATGCTCGTTTCAACGGAAACGATATAAAGAATCTCTGTCGATCCTCAGTGATTTCGGATTTAGCAGTCGTTTCTTCCTCCCGTTCCTATCAAGTAGTCATTTCTGCATTACGTGAGTTTAACAAATGGTCTCAAATGGTTTCAACCACTAAAAGTGTTCTTTCGGATAAAGAAATAAAAGATTTGGCTTGCAAAGGCAAACATTCAAAAGCCAGAAACTGCTGCCAAACAGCGATTCTTTGCGATGAACTAGAAAAAGTTGGTGGTTTTGGACAAAGTGTACTGGTCCATGCTCTACTCTTACATCTTGGCCCATTTGTCCATGAGCATAAATTCATCGGAAATGCATCCGAAGAGGGCATTGAGGCAGTTCACAGCAGGCTAGAATCTGAATTTGCTCGAAACAAGACAGGACCACCAGAAGAGCGACTAATGAACTCGCTCAAGTGGCTCGGTTATGTTGTTCTCCTCAATGATGATGGAAATATGACATCTTAATTTCCTCCTTTTTGCTTAATGTTCAATTGTGATTCTTTTTTTTGTCTAATTCATGCTTATAAATAGAATAAATTTTTTCTAGACTATACCAGATCTGCAAGTACCGCAGAACCAGAAAAAAACTGCATTCCATAAAATCATAAAATCCATAAAATCGGACAAAACTAATAAAAAGTCAAATTTTTCGGGAAATTCTTTCCGCCATGTTTAAACACATAAAAATGCTTTCGAATGATATATAACACTTGATGATTTGACACAAAAGAAAAATTTTACCAACATCAAAGGTGCGCGCGGGCCATATAACCGCGCACTTCTAAGAAACCTAGGTTTCGGAGCTCGCGTTTCCATTGACCAAAAAACAAAATTAAAAAACAATTCCCGACCAACTTTTTGCGTAGAATTCAGAAATTTGCTTTTTGAGCCTAGTTTATCAGCTAGATTTTCGTGAAAAAAATTATTTTGACTTTTCGGCGCCGAATATGGAAAAAATTTCATGGAAAAATAGAATTCCACAAAAACTCAATTCAGCATTTTGAAAGAGCGTGAAAAGAGCTATTGAATGACATATAACACTTTATGGTTCGATGAAATATGAAATTTCACTAACATCAAAGTCGCCGCCTTTAATTCTGAAATTTTGGATGATGCTTTTCGGATCATTTTATTTTTTCCGTTCATTTTTGGGCCTAACTTAAAATTTGTAGTGTTCGGATTTTTGATTTAAAGAAAAAAAAAAAATTTACACAGGGGTGTAATCGATGTGTGGGGTACTATTACAGTATTTACGGTAGATATGATAAAATGTTAAGAATTTGACTGGATTATGGTAGTTTTATTGTAGTATTGGATTGGTGAATTGAAAACTCCCGGCTATTGTCATATGTGAAAGTTTGAGCACTTTCTTTAAAAAAAACCCATTTTGGTGTCAATGGGAAAGTTGTAGAGAATCAAAAATTAGGCCTATAGCCAAATTTCCAAAAAGATACACTTAGTAGTTCCGTTTAAAATTTGTTTGTTCTGTGTATTCTTTGTGCGGCTTCGTAATCGCTCGTCGTCTGGCGCAGGGCTTTTACATAACCCCCTGCCCTCTCGCTTTCGAAACTAATCTGGCCGCTCCGAATCCTCAAATTGGACATTGTCTTCTCCGCATAATCAAGGCTAATCTCAATCTATTGGCTGATGAATTGAAAACTCCCGGCTATTGTCATATGTGACAGTTTGAGGACTTTCTTCAAAAGAAACCCATTTTGGTGTGAATGGAAAAGTTGTAGAGAATCAAAAATGAAGCTTATATCCAGATTTTCAGAACGATTCAAAAAACTGCTTTTCAAGAGATGCCAAATTCACGAATATTTGACAAAACTTGCATTTTAAGCGAAACCACTAAGTGTATCTTTTTGGAAATTTGGCTATAAGCCTCATTTTTGATTCTCTACAACTCTTCTATTGACACCAAAATGGGTTTCTTTTGAAGAAAGTGCTCAAACTGGTCCTCCATTTTTGAAAGTGCTCTCCACTCCTCGATTTTTGAGTCTCGCACTTGTCTCACACACAAACCAAAATCCTACCACGAAAGAGGAATCCGCAAATTGCCTGTAAAATGGGCAGAAGTCGTCAATAAAAATGGAAATTATTTGGAATGAATTCATCGTTTTATGTTCAATAAATTTTAGTTCAAAGTCCGGTAGTTTTCAACTCACCAACCCAATAATTGAATCCTTTAGATGGATTCAATCAAAGCCAAAGTCAAGCGGTCGAACGACACGATTGGCATTGAAAATAGGTAGATTTTCACTATTATTTATTAGATATTAAATAAATATTAGATAAAAATATCATCAATTTATGTAAACAATGTCATTTTTAGTTGACAAAGTTCCCAGGGATTGGCTTGAGACTTGGTCTGATGAACAAAAGCTTCGGTTTAAATAAAGTTGATTTAAATCCAAATTTTTATTTAGACTTTTACAAATGATTGAAGAAAATGTGAAGAAAACAAATGAAAAATCACTGTCAAATGGTTTTCTGATGAGAATTTCTCCATTACCAGCTTTTTATCATCGTCAATCGTTTGAGAGGTGAGCATTAGAGGAGTTGAAAGATTGCTGAAAGCTTTAGACTTTCAGCTTTAGACTTCGGCATAGAAACATTAACTTTCTAGTGCAGTTAGCACTAGTTAAGTGCACTAGAAAGTGTGTGTGTGTGTGTGTGTGTGTTTTCCCCGAAGGAAACCAATGGAGTATTGTCAAAAAAAGACTAATTCATGATTCTAGTTGGTCAAATTGCATCGCTAAAGAGGTGACAATAACGCACGCAAATTCGACAACGATTGACGCGGCTGAAATCTATACAAAAGCCATTCATCAACTCATAAATGGTTTCACTCCAAAAGCCGTTTATCAGTTGGTATTGAAAAGACAAAACTAAGAAGGAAAAAGCTTTGTTTTTTTGACTTTTTTGACTTTTTTGACTTTTTTGAAAGCCTAATAGCTTGATAATGATGTTTTTATTTTCTTAAATTATTGGGTTGTCCAGTTATGAATGCGCGTTTTTTACTATTTTATAAATTTCTCAAGATACCGAAATCAAGAAAAAGATATATATGAGTATTATTCGAAAGCTGAAAATCTCCTCTACATTTTGATATAAAAAGTTTTTTAAATTTAAAGTTAAACAGCTTTTGGGCAAATTGACTGCACAGAAGAAGAGGTGGCCAAAAAATGGATGGGTGCCTTTGGATCAAGTTTTGGCTCCGCTCAAATTGAGTTAACCGTTTGATCTTTGGCCAATAGATATATCAATACAACTTTTTTTTAAATATAACAATTTCAGAGTATCTTTACTTTTCTTTTCTTTTCTGGGCGGTTATTTTCCACGATAAAACTTGAGGAATAGCTAAGCTGGAATGGATTTTTTCGAAAACGACCTTTCCCTTTGTGCAGTCAATTTCTCAAAAAGTTGCATGAATTCAAAAAGGTTTTTATTCCAAAATGTAGAGGAGATCTTCAGCTTTCGAATGATATATAACACTCATATAAATCTGTTCGATATCCTGAGAAATTTATAAAATAGTAAAAAACGCGCATTCATAACTGGACAACCCAATACTTAATCTTTAACTATTCTTCAGTAAATAGTCTTTACTTTTAAGAATAACTTTAACGAAAATACTCATTTCTTTACAGGAACGCTCTTTCATCAACAAAGGATAAAATTGTTCGAAAACATTTGGAACTAGCTGCAATTCAAGTAAGAAACCTCAAGAAACTCATTCCCTAATTCTTGTTTTTCCTCTTAGCTAGCTTTACTGCTTTATTGCTTTATTGCTTTGTTATTTGTTTGGATTTAAGATCAATAAACATTTAGCTTTCTCCATTTCCTTATGGTGATGACTTGAGTCTTTCAACGAATGGAGACGATCAAATTATGGGATATTTCGGGATCGCTTTGCAGGAAAAGTATTTTAAACCTTTAAATTAGCATAAAAACTCTTAATTCTGATAAAATTCTCCGATTTCAGATTGCTTTCTATGAGCTACTGCATGCAAAATCCTTTGCCGAGGGTTTACTGGATGCAATTCTTGTCGGTGGGGATACTGATACAAATGGTTGCATTGTTGCTGCATTACTTGGTGAGTTCAGCTCAGCTATCAGCTATCAGCTAATCAGCTATCAGCTAATCAGCTATCAGCTAATCAGCTATCAGCTAACATCAGTCATAGACGCAGGACGCTGAACACGATGCTGGCTTTCTTTTTTCTTACGGAGCACTCTGTCAAAAGTTATATGCGTTTAAAGTTTCATTTAAAAAGAAACAGCGACATTACAAGCCTTTCTTCCAAGCAGGCCTAAGTGACAGCGGTGGCTACGTGGCAGTCGAGTTAGGACGGGAGGCGAGACCTCACTGGTTCGAATCCGGTAGCTGGTCGTCTGCTTTCTTTTTTGGGGTTTTAAGCAGTCTGCTTTTTAGAGTTAGAGTTGTAAGTCAGAGTATGGATTAAAGATACGTTGCCCAACACACCTTTTGCATTTCTAAGTGCCAACTATCGAACTAAATTACCGTAATCATTCTGGTTAAAGAATGGATCTAAAAAAAGCACCGTAACCCAATGGGAATGCCGTAACTTTGTAGGATTACCGTAATCCAGTGGGACAGCAGGATCACCGTAATCCATTGGGACAGGGATTACCGTAATCAAGTCGGACAGCAGGATTACCGTAATCCTTTGGACTACGGTAGCTTCGGTAGACATGGACAAGTCTTTTTAAAGCTAAAAACTAATAAATCCAATTGAGGTGCCCATTTCGGCTGTGAAATGATCCCAGAAATTTGGTGGAAAGCTGTGAAGGACGCCAAACTTCGTCTCCAAAACGAGAATGCGATCACCACAATTGAAGAAATCGTTTCAGCATTCGAAATGAGACAATAAAATTGCCTGTTTTGCGTATAAATTGGTGGAAAAAAAGGAAAATCTCCAGAATTTCTAGTCCAGTCAGGTTTTGGTTTGGTTTGAATCTGTGCCAGAACCTGGGACAGGTTCAATCGAAGCCAAAAGCCAAGCCAAAAGCAAGCCAAGTTAAGCCAGAAGCCAAGCCAAAAGCCAAGCCAAAACCAAGCCAAGCCAAGCCAAAAGTCAAGCCAAAAGCCAAGCCAAGCCAAGCCAAAACCAAGCCAAGCCAAGCCAAAAGCCAAGCCAAACCAAGTTACCGTCCTCCAACCTGATTCTATTCTTCCTTAGCTTACTATTCAATTATGATTTCTAATCTTTGTTTACAGCTTTCCATATTTTGGAGCTTCTTTTTTCACCCGGAACTCTTTTATTTATAGCTTGAGGCTAGGAATTTGAGTGCACGAATATTTGCACAAATTTTGGACAAATTTTTGAGTTCCATAAGGATTTCCGGGTTTGGTTTTGAGTTTAGATTTGTTTCAATGAACCACCAGCTGTTTAAATGTGGTTTTTAAAGGCTCATCAGGCTTAGGCTTAGGTTTCTAAACGGCTAGAAAAGCAGAAAGAGCTGTCCTCGTGGTGCAGTCAGAAGCGCTTTTGTCTACAGCCTGGAAGATCCGGGTGCCCTCCTAGTGCCAGTGAATCTTGATCTTTTGATTTTAAAGCCATCAATATCAATACTGGTATAGATAAGCGTTGATAAGCTCGATTCTAAACAATTCTAAACTTAAAGCGAACATAAACATCTAACTCCTCAATCGTTTTCTCTTCAAAATTGAGTAAGAGAAGCCGTCTCTTGGCTGTGTTTAAGCGTAAGTGAATTGCCTTTTTCTGCAGAGCTCCCAAATCTCTCAATATCTTTTCTATCAAGACTTTTTTCAGAAAAAAAAAGAAAAAACTCTTAATCAAGAGTTCATTGGGGGTTTTTTTGTGGTTCTTTGGTTGAAATTCACTTTTTTGTTTGTTTTGAAAGTTAATTGAAGTCTAGACTGGGTTAAAGGAAAGAAATTTTAGCATAAAAGTGTTTTTTTTTTCAATTTCAATGGATTTCACTACTTTAGAATTATTCTTGATGACTTTAGAACTTAAAGAAGATCTTTTGACAGTCAATTTGTTCATCTGCTTTCAATTGATGTCTTTTCTTTGTTAATGGACACCTTTTAATCGTTTTCTCTTCAAAATTGAGTTCAAATCAATCTCTTCAAATCAAAATTGAGTAAGAAAAGCCGTCTCTTGGCTCTTGGCGTTTAATGAAGACTTTTTCAACGTTTAGCACTACATTGTAGTACTATATTGTAGTACATTGTAGTACTATATTTTGCTTAACACTTTGCTTAACACTTGCTTTAAAACTTTAAGACTTTAAAACTCAATCTTTATAAAAAAGAAAAAGAAATTTGGATAAAGAAGTCTTTTGAAATGAAAGAGTTTAGTTAGAAATTGTTTGGAAAATGCATACAATCTCTTTTCAACAAATCAAATGTTGAATGAAGACTTTTACAATGTTTAACACTACATTGTAGTACTATATTAACTAGATTAACTAGAATAACTAGAATAACTAGATTAACTAGAATAACTAGAAAACAGAATAACTAGAATAACTAGAATAACTAGAATAACTAGATTAACTAGATTAACTAGAATAACTAGAATAACTAGATTAATTAGAATAACTAGATTAACTAGAATAACTAGAATAACTAAAATAGCTAGAATAACTAGTAACAGATTAACAGTAACTAGATTATTGATAACTAGATTAATTAGTAACAGGAACGAATAACTATTAATTATATTAACTCTAGTTTAACCACTAGTATTCTCAAAGTTTAACAATTATACAAAAAAAACATTTGATTTATCGTAAGATCGTAGGTTAACCTATTTTCTAAAGAGAAAACTTTCGTTTTACACGTCAAAAAGGGGATTCGAGACGTCTCATGAGTTTCATTGGACCGCAATTTCCGATTAGGTACTTTGGAATGCAACTTTTTTTGTGTGGTGAGAGAAAAAGGACAAGCTTTTAGGACAATGAGGGTCTGACTGCTGAATTTCCCAACAGCATTTGAAAAGTTTTCAGTTTTTGGAATCAGTTTTGGAATCCGTTTTGGAATCAGCTTTTGGAATCAGTTTTGGAATCAGTTTTTGAAAACAGTTTTTATGACTTTTCAAAGAACCCAAGCATTTCCTTAAATCTTTCAATTGTTTTCATCTAGATTAAGAATCAATTTCTAAATTTATCAGCTTTCAAGTAATCATATTATTGAAAATGCCTTGAAAGATCATCTTATTGATCTTTCAAGTCAACACAAGTACACTTTTCTGATTTAAACTTGAGTTTATCATTGAAAAGCTCTTAGTTATCAATAATATGTTCAATAATATGTTCAATAATATGTTCAATAATATGTTCAATAATCGTTTAATCGTTTAATCGTTTAATTGTTTAATATTTGAATACTTTCTAATCAAATATCAACAATTTCCTCTAGTTTTTCTCTTTTTTCAGTAGAAAATCGAGAAAAAGTAAAGGATTTGCTGAGTGAGATTCAATAATTCATGATCAATTTTCGTCGATTTGCAGTTAAAAGCTGAGTACTAAAGATTAAATTCTTTTAATCTTTAGTTCTCAGCTTGTAAACGCAATTCTTTTAGTTAAATAAGATTTTATCTTTTATCTTTTATCTTTATCTTAAGAGCTAATCTTTTAATCTTTTTAAATTTTTTTTTAATCTCCCCTACTATTGAGATGTGTGTTTCTCAAAAAATAGTACCCCCCAGGGAGGAGGTTTATTATTTTTTTTTTTTTTTCTATAAAATTCAAAACCAAAACACCAAACAAAACAATTTCTCCATTTTAATTCTTTTTTGCCCCCCCTTCTAAAGAAAATTTAAGGGTTTTGGAAATTTTTTGTTTTAGGGATTTGGTGTTTATATGGATTTATGGGGGATTAGGGGGAAGATTAATGTGAAAAAAAAATAAAAAAAAAATTAATCTTTTCTATCGTTTACTCAAAGAATTTCAGCTTCTACAAATGTCTACAAACAGTGTTGATTGGTACGAGTACAATCCGGATGAGAAAGATCTTTTAATTCGCTCGTGGGCACTCATTCAACCAAACAAACAAAATCTTGGATGTGATATTTATGAGATGATATTTAATCAAGTAAATTGACAAAATTCAACTTTTAAAACAAAGATTTGGGCAAAAGGCAAATGGGCAAAAGTTAGATTTGAATCTTTAAAAAGTTTCTTGAAAGGGGAATTGATTTAAAGCTGGATTTGAATCTAAATTTGAGTCTAAAACTTTAGTTTAAAGCTTTGAAATTGTCTTTTCTTTAAAGAAGAATAGATTTGAAACTAAATTTGAATCTAAAACTTTACTTTAAAGCTTTTAAATTGTCTTTTCTTGAAAGAGGAATAGATTTAAAGCTAGATTTGAATCTAAAACTTTACTTTAAAGCTTTTAAATTGTTTTTTCTTTAAAGAGGTGTAGATTTAAAGCTAGATTTGAATCTAAAACTTTACTTTAAAGCTTTTAAATTGTTTTTTCTTTAAAGAACAGTAGATTTAAAGCTAGATTTGAGTCTAAATTTGAATCTAAAACTTTACTTTAAAGCTTTTAAATTGTTTTTTTTAGTGTCCTGAGACTCGTTATCTCTTTCCGAAAATCGATACTTTTGGGCATAAAAAAGAGCTTCGAAAAAACAACGAGTTCGTCTTTCAAGCATTGCGTTTTATGCAGGTTTGTTGAAAGAAAGGGAATCGAAAATTTTGAAAAACTTTATTTAATCCAATCATCTTCCGTATCAGTGCTGTATTTTGTGCACTACATTTCCTTGTCTGCTTCTCCACTTACCCCAAATCTAGCTTTTTACAATCCCAAGGAACTAATGACAGCTATTGGAAGTTGACAGCTATTTTGTGCACTGCATTTCCTTGTCTGCTCCTCCATTTACCCCAAATCTAGCTTTTTACAATCCCAAGAAGCTAATGACAGCTATTGGAAGTTGACAGTTATCTTGTGCACTGCATCTCCTTATCTGCTTCTCCACTTACCCCAAATCTAGGCTTTTACAATCCCAAGGAGCTGAAGCCAATGACAGCTATTAAAGCTCAAATAAATATATGACATTGAATTTGGGTTGTTTTTGTTTTTGGGGTGAAGCTCAATGCGCCAAAAAAGCGCTTAAAGTAAACTTTGAAATAGCTTGAATGTAATCTAGCTTAAATGCAATCTAGCTTTCTAGCTTTACTTCAAGATTATTTATCTTTTTGTAATCATTAAATTATTAGCTTTCAGGTGGTTGAAAGCGCAATGCGAAATCTCGACAGTCTCAACAATATGAACACGATTTTAGATAATTTAGGCCGAAGACACGGGAAATTAGAGGTAAAAGCGAGAAGGAAATCTAGAGATCTTGTACTTATTGATTTACTGTACATAGTACTACTAAATAGCACTGTACAGTACTATTAAATAGCACTGTACATAGTACTACTAATTAGCACTGTACATAGTACTACTAAATACTTCAAGCCTAAGCTTATGCACACATTTTAACTAAAATAAAGTGTCATTCTAATACAGCAAAGGCAATAAATGAAATTTTCAGTTGGTAGGCAAATTTCGTCCATATTACTGGTCAGTATTTCTTGAGTCGATGATCTTTCATGTTCGAAAGTTCTTGGAAGGTAAAGAAATTCAAAAAAGCTTAACTTTTTAAACTAAATTTCTTTACAGCTAATCACCGAAAATTTCCGGAAAAAGAGATTGATGGAGCGGTGATTGTGTGGAGGACTTTACTCAAAGATGTTGTCCATCGAATTAAGGTATTAAGAGAGATAGGCACAAATTTTAT